ATGAGACGCACTCACATATATACTGTGGGGCCAGCAAAGAAAAGGACAGGGAAAACATTGCAGTTTAAAGGCAAATGCTTTTTACTGAACAGGCAGAAAGAGAGAACTGCCGCTGCTGAAAGGCTGAAATAGTGGGCAGGTCACTTCTCTTACACTTTCTCCTAATGGTAAACACTAACATTGCACCAACTACCCAACAGCCCAACACAGAATAGCACTAACACCACATGCACACATCATTAAGCTACAACAACAACTTGTTCACAATAAAAGCAGTGTGCGAAATACCCCCTGATATTCGGGGGGTCCCATGTTGACTGGTTACTCCAGTGTTGGAGGGCTGCTAACTCATTCACCAAAGCGGCGCTGATGCTAGCTTTAATAGCAGCAAAATGTTTGGTTATGGAAATGCTCTTCTCTAGTTTTGTTTGGTTTCCACACTTTAACTGAGATCCTACACATCTACTCCTTTATCTTTGGTTTGAGAAATGAGTAATAATTCACTCATTCCACCAAACTCTTGAGAAATTGGGCAAGTTGTAAGATTTACGTCATATTATGAAGTTTTTCAGAGGTATCAAAGTTGCAGTTGCTAGGCTATGAAGAACCAACTGGGTCAACCAACTTGCTACAGCACCACCCTGAGGCAGAGCAGTGTTGCAGCTCTAGTTAGTTAAGAATACCAAAGACAAGCTTGCCGATTGTAGGTGAAGTAGGCAAAACAATGTCTATGAATTTGAATTTGAGCATATGTTTTTCCCTAACGGACAGCATAACGTCATTATGACTTTGTTTTTTCAACGAGCCCCCAAAACTTTGATTTTGAGACATTTAGGGGGCCCAAGAGCTTAATTAGGAGGTCCTGGGGTGCCCGGGACTCCCTAATTAACCTCTTGGACTCTCTGTATTTTGCACTTTGAATAAATGTCTCCTGTACCGCAACATGGCGCCTCCTGAGAGTCTGTGCGTGTGCCAGCTCTGCATGGCCACACCTCCCGCCATCCTACAGCAGCCAGTAGCTGGACGCTACAATACAGACACACAGTTACACTGCCCATCAGCCATTTGAAGTTTGGCGATAACACATTAACGCCTTAAACGCTTCAATTCCTCTTTTTACCAAACATTCTCATAGTACTTACTGAATGAGTCTTAAAATGAATAACTGAATAATAAGCCTGTAGTTTAAAGACTAATTCCAACAATTTTTCAACATTTCAGCATTGATAAAAAGTTAAGGTGCAGAATCTTTCAGAGTGGTCTGAAGTGAAATGCTCCATTCCAGTGACTTGCTGAGTCAGAATGGTTCACAGTGGTTTTGACAGGAACCAGACGTCTGAAACATTTAATGCCTCTGAAAACTTCCTCGCAGAAAACAAAATGTTTGTGAATACACAGTCTGATGCCGTGTCTGACATCGGTCTGTAAGTTTCTCTACAAAGACCAATTTCAAATCAGGCTCTGAACGACTTTGTTTACATCTCATCTGTTGAATCATGCAGATTTTTGATTTTGCCATTTTTCTTTGCAACAACTGAAGGAGCAACTAATAAAAGCCTTAGGAATTATTCCATACCCAGTGCGTTTTATCCCCTTGTTCTGACATCAGAATACATCAGCACTCAAACCTTTCAGCTGTTTAAAACCACTTTTGGCCAAAAGATTGGTCTATTTTTATTAAAAAGAGTTCGGAAAAGGAACCTGTCACATGCTCTTCTTTCTGAGGAAGACACTTTGATGAACATGAAGCTGAGTGTAGCAAAATATACTCAAAGTACATATACCTATATAAAATAAAAATATAGTATTTTTTTATATTTTACTATATATTGTATATTATCTATTTTTATTTATAGTATAAAAAATATAGTACAAAAATATACAAAATATACAGTAAAAAGCTGTTTTATGCTAACAAAATATTTGCAGGTATTTTATCTTACTTAACTGAAAAGTAACATCAAGAAATTTCAAATTTCAAAAGAAGAAAAAGTGTCATCAAACCGTTGATAGGCACTATATTCAGGGACACAATCTCATATACACTTGAGGACAGACAGCGCAGAAATGCAGCAGAACGGTGCAGTGGAGAGGCCCTGCAGGACTGGAGATGAACTCTTATGCTTAAATTCCCCTACATTCTCTCTTCCTCTGCCTTTTCTTCTCTTCTCTCTATCAAATCTACTGCTGAACACACACATATGACTATTTACAAAGGACTGATGTTCATTCTGTAAAGAGTAGAAAGTGAATGTAGTCAGATGGTCATTAAGCTCGACTCGTTGAAGAATGTTACTGTTCATGGTTCACGGTGGATATTTTTAGCTTTGAACATATATCAAAAAAATTGTACTTTAAAATATGTGTTGAAATATGGGTGAAGAATATGTACCACTGGTCTTGCAGGTTTGGTGTGCTGTAGCTGAAACCCCAGTTTTGTACTGTAGAGAAATGTGCAAATGGCAATATCTGCACTTCAGAATCAATATTTGCCAGTAACAGTAACTACAGTTTCGTCCAAACGGATTTGACACGCAGAGCCTCCAAAATATAACAGTTTAAAGAAATTCCATTCCAAGGATGCACAGTTCTGGAAGGAACCTTTCAGAGACTGAAGTTTTCTGAGATGAATCACACTGGATGTAGAAGGTGTGTCTGTCTGTGGCCAACATAACTACCAATACAGAACAGTACAACTTATTTAGCACCTTTCTCAAACCCAAGGTGGCCTTGCAGAGGCAGGAGATGAAAACAAAAAACATCAGTGAGGAAAAGAATGACAGTGCTGGTAGTCCTCGTATGGAAGACCTATCAGATATTAAGCTGATAAGAACAGATGCTACACTTGATCTTAGCCAAAACGCCGAGAAGCTATCCACGTTGGTGCTATATGACGATTAATACAACTAGACAAATAAAAAAGAATCTTTTGTCATTTTTTTGTTTGTTACTTGTTGTATTAAAACATGCATTATAAATTCCTATACACTGTTCTGGGTTTATGAAACACACATTCCAGTGACTTTCTACATATTTTCAAAAAGCTAACACCAAAGGCCTGGTTCAGATATCAAGAAATAGCTCTGGTTTTAAGCTGATGTGGAAAAAAATGAAGATTGCTATACTGGCGTTTCCTGTAGACCTAGGAACTCTAATTCAACATGCTAATACGTTCCACGTTTTCTGAAACAGTAGTGCACCTGAACACGAAGCCGCGGATTCAATATCACATTCTGATCCCAGACTGCCAGTTTCACACCAAACAAAATGTTCCGGCCCAAAGTAGCCCATCTCATTGCCTTCCCTTCCTGTCTCTCCAGAAAGTGCTCAATCCATATGACCTTGATCACCACCACTGGTTTCTCATTTTGCATTTGGGATTGCATGCTGCCATTTCTGGCCTTTTGCCTGGGTAATTACCCCATCACACACCCACACACACACACAAAGAACTCCAGCGAAGGTCGTGTTTGAGGTCGAGGAAGATATGAAACATGCAGTGGATTTCTGGCTTAAACCCTGCTCACGCAGTAAACAGCGTTCAGTTCAGTTGCTTTGACAGCCTTGATAGAAAACACAGCCGATAATAAAAATGTTGAACTGACCAGAAGTTATTTTCTATTTGCCGCATTACAAAGCTGAACAAACCCAGAGTGCTCATTCTGAGTCTGGCTCCACAGTGGAGCACAGCCATCTTCTGCCAAACCTGTAGAGCGGGGGAGAAATATAGCACGTTTTGCTTCAGCATCCAAGAACACCCACAACTTTTCTTGAGGCTCTCAAAGAGATCTTAGGATTCTCAGAGAAATTACACAGGATTTAAGCTTCCAAAACACCAAAAGAAACAGCCAGGGTGACTTAAACTAGCAGCACCACCCAGGCCATGTCAATAACCCCTCCAGTGAAAAATGTGATTGCAAAACATCTCTAATTATCTCTGAAAATAACTGAGATAAAGAAAATAGCGCTGCAGTTTAAACAAAGTTACAGAGGCAGCGGCCTAGCATGCTGAGCTTTCCATTCACACTGGACATTGTCCTACAAACATATGGAAAGGGGGAAAAGAAAGATCATGTCGCCATCTAGTGGTGGTGGGGAGAGCTCGCAGTGTATGAAGCACACAGTATGTGCTCCATTAAAAATGAATACCTTGTCTTTCGGTTAAATACTACATTCCAGTAATTTGACCATAGAGTGCATAGAGTTATACGTTGTTGTATTTTGGGAAGCATTTTGTCCTTTTTTATATATAGTCTAAACAAGTACTTCTCACAACTTAGAGGTTTTCTCTGTAAACAGTGTGATGTTCAGTTGATCTACAATTCAGAAAAAAATCAATTTTATATTATATTATATTATATTATATTAAAATCATAAATTGTATATTAGCAATCAGAAAAAAATCATAAATTTTATATTATTATGTTATCTTAAAATCATAAATTATATATTGTTTTCATAGAAGTTCGATTTTGAGTGTCATTGCAATGAATAAATACATAAATCCTACCACATTTTATGAAACATTTAAAAAAAAATAACAGAGTAGATTCACACATTTCCCACTACATTCTGTTCATTGTTTGTTTATTTAATTTTTTTTATATTATATTATATTAAAATAACACATTTTAGATTATTTTTATAAAAGTTCAATTTGTAGTCATTGCATAAAATAAATTAATAAATAAATCCTACCACGTTTTATAAAACAATAAAAAAACAGAGTAGATTCACACATTTCCCACTACATTTTGTTCATTGTTTATATTTATTTTAATTTTATTTGTTTATTAATTAATTTATTAACTAATTTATTTATTTATTTATTTATGTTCATTTATTTATTCATTTATTTATTTTTGTTAAAATTGATTCTCCTGACGATTTCACCTGCGATGGTGAGGATGATGATTGGCTGTAGCGTTCTGTGGGGGCGGGGCTAACTCGCTTGCGTCCCTTTCATTTGTGGTCGCTGTGACAACGAGTTCACCACAACTGTGCCTAGTAGTGACTCGTGCCTACAGCAGCGAGCGAGTGCTCTGTGTGGCGCCCACTTTCTGATATGTCTAAAAACAAGGTAAGAAATGATCTGCAGGTCTGCAGGTAACTATTTATTTACCTGTACCCTTAATTAATGGCAGGATAACGTAGTGCTGGCCTTAATGGTTTAAGGTCTTTGGGCTTAATCCACCAACCGTTCTTAATACGCTTATGTTTTCTTATTTGGGATTTCTTCTTAGGTAACTTAGTTAGCTAGAACAGTTAGCTAGAACAGCTAGCTAGAATGCTGGATTTTTTTATCCTATAACTTCCATGTTTGTGAAAACTACACATTCCCTGCAGACGAGTGGGAACAAGGGTCCTTATAGCCAGAAGAGAAAAGAGGGGTAAGTCAGTGAGTGAGTCATGCTCTCTCTCTCTCTCTGTCTCTCTGTCTCTCTCTCTCTCTCTCCCTCTCTCTCTCTATATATATATATATATATATATATATATATGTACACCGATCAGGCATAACATTATGACCACCTCCTTGTTTCTGCGCTCATTGTCCATTTTATCAGCTCCACTTACTATATAGGTGCACTTTGTAGTTGTTAGCCCCCTTTTACCGTGTTCTTCAGGGTGTTAGTGTGTGTTGCGCTGGTCTGAGTGGATCAGACACAGCAGTGCTGCTGGAGTTTTTAAACACTGTGTCTACTCACTGTCCACTCTATTAGACACTCCTACCTTGTCAGTCCACAGTGTAAAGTCAGAGATGATAGCTCATCTGCTGCTGCACAGTTTGTGTTGGTCATCCTCTAGTCCTTCATCAGTGGTCACAGGACGCTGCCCACAGGACGCTGTTGGCTGGATATTTTTGGTTGGTGGACTATTGTCAGTCCAGCAATGACACTGAGGTGTTTAAAAACTCCAGAAGCACTGCTGTGTCTGATCCACTCAGACCAGCACAACACGCACTAACACACCACCACCACATCAGTGTCACTGCAGTGCTGAGAATGATCCACCACCCAAATAGTACCTGCTCTGTGAGGGTCCATGGGGGTCCTGACCACTAAAGAACAGGGTAAAGAGGGGCTAACAAAGTATGCAGAGAAACAGATGGACTACAGTCTGTAACTGTAGAACTACAAAGTGCACATGTATATATGTTGTGTGTGTGAGTGTTTGAATATTTATGTGTAATATATATCACAGGGAAGGGAGGACTTGTGTGCGATTCAGATGTGGCTTGACAAACACAATCCTGGACGTTCTTCACCAGAGACCAGGCTGGGTTGAGGTCAAAGAGTGAGTCTTTTAACATGTAAACATTCCTTTCGTCTGAGGTGTGATGTGCTGCATGCTTATCTCCTTTGATTAATCCAAATCATTTGTTGTCTTAAATGCACAGGGATGGAGAGTGGGACTTTAACTGGTGTGATGTGGGCTGGCTCAGAGAGAACTATGACCACTCTTATATGGAGGAGCATGTTAGGATATGCCACTTCCGGAACCACTATGAGGTTAGCAAAGAGCAGCAACAGAATGATGTTAATCACTGTTCACCCGAAATTCAGAACAGTCTTTTCAAGGTGCGAGAAACAGCACTGACTATTGAAAGGAGAACTCCACCAAATTTTCACAAATATCTGCATAATTCAGTGATTGAGATGGAATGGTTCATGATAGAGAAACTCACTGTCTTCTTTGCAGTGGTGGTGATGGAAACCAGGGGTTGCAATATCTACAGTACAAATATAGTCATTTTATTGACTCTCTATAACAGTCAATTAATCTACATGTCTTCATGCTCTTTATGATAATGTTGATGGTAACAGTAAAGTAGGGCTAAACAAAATCTTTGGGCACTATTTAGGCTTACAGTGCCCTGCACATACTTCTCTGCCATAAATAAATTGGGAAAAAATACAATTTTAAGCCAAAATGTTATCTCAAAACTGAAATAAAACAACATCTCAGGCATTGAGCAGTTTATTCTTAACAATCTCATGTACTAAATCCCAGTGAAGTAGCTTTTAGAGGCATTAAACGGTTCAAATGTCTTTTTCCTGTCTTGTTCACCACTGTGAACAATTTTAAATACGTTTCTTGACAACAAAGCATTTCACTTAGTTTAATTTTTCGTGTTAACTACTTAATTACACAAAAATTCTGCTTTATGAGTGAAAGTTATATGTTAACTACAACTATTTAACCTTTGGTTCACTGAAATATCAAATTTACACAAGTATGCTGTTACTCCAAATTAGTTAATCAGCCAAGATATGCTTGCTTCTTTAGTTTTGCACTGGAGCTGTAAGGCTAATGTAGCTAATAAGTAATGGGGGTCTTTTTGAGTGACATAGATTTCTATTATATTAGCCTTGTAGCTCCAGCGCTAAACAAAGGAGCAAATGTTTTGGCTGATCAGCTAAATTTGGCTACTTTTGCAGAACGTTTTTTGATACTGAGGCAAAAAAGCAGCTATTTCTGCCCTTTAATCTGCTCTCCCCCTTTAGTAATGTGACTTCTCTATGCTGTTTTCACATTTATTTTGATATTAAAACAACATAATCTTACAAAGCTGAAACCTAATTGATTTTGATTTGCGCACAAAGCAAGCAAACAAATGAATAGGAATATACTTCATACTTCAGTCACCTTTTATTGTAACTCTGAACAAACAAACCTATAATGAGCACTCAGCTATCTGAAGTCTGTAAGTTTAAGTTTAAGTCAAAGTTTATTTATATAGCGCTTTTTACAACAGGTGTCGCCACAAAGCAGCTTTACAGAAAAATCTGGGTCCAAGCACCCATGAGCGTCGCCAATGGCGACAGTGGCAAGGAAAAACTCCCTAAGAGCAAAGAGGAAGAAACCTTGAGAGGAACCAAGACTCAAAAGAGGAACCCATCCTCCTCTGGTCAACACCCAGTGGTGGATAAAGTACACAAACCCTGTACTTGAGTTAAAGTAGAGATACCCAAGGTAAAATATTACTCCAGAAAAAGTAGAAGTTCCTCCCTTTAGACCTCCACTTGAGTAAAAGTACAAAAGTATTTGCCTTCAAATGTACTTAAGTATCCAAAGTAAAAGTACTAAAAGATTAATTATGACTCTGATGTCCTATTATCATTTTTGTAACAAGACTCACTTCATTAACTCATTTTAGGTGAAAATACTCCAGTGTCTCTCTTGGTAAACCAGTCTTTTAATAGAATGTCATTAATTAGTGACGCTGATGTCTATTAAAATGATCATAAGCACAAAACACTGAAGGTAAACAGTTTCCATCAGGTAGAACTGAGTGGCTCTGAAATCACTTTTTACAAACAAGCAAAGTTTCAGTTTAAGATTTATTTAACTTAGTTCCAAGTTTAAGTTTAATAAAAACTTTAAACTCAGATTCACAAATGAGTTTCCTTTACTAAACTGCATCTGTAGGTCTCTGTTCATAAACATAAACTAGCCAAAACTAATTTACTATAAAATGAAATGTGTTTGTATAAATTCAGAAAAAAGACACGTCAGTCACAACTGCATATGTGTACATATTTCTATATTGTGGTCTGTTTACACAAAGTTAGGTTAGTTCATCATTTATGTTGAATAGACTCTCCCAAAATTTTACGCTGCTGCACTGATGTTGAACCGTGTGCTGCACTGGGTCGGTATGACCAACAGGTCAAAACAAGCTCAAAACAAAGTGACCGCTGTGCCCTGATTGGTGTTCTTGCTGTGCGCTTTTTTCGTTTTGACATGTTACGTTTTTATACACACAAAAACCAAAAGGAACAACAGATTTCTCATAATGTAGTGGAGTAAAAAGTGAGATATTTGACTTTGAAATGTAGTGGAGTGAAAGTAAAAAGTCACCCAAAATGGAAGAGTAAGTATTTCAGTAAGGTACAGATACACAAAAAACTACTTAAGTACAGAAACTAATTACATTTACTTCATTACCGTCCACCATCTGTCGACACCGGATAGCAAACAGCGTTAGTATAAAATATTAGAATACAAAACGGGGAAAAACAGGTGAAGCAATGGTTAATTAGATAGTTTGAGTTTACACAGCAGCACCAGGAGGGTCAGTTCATACAGGTGAGGTTTGCACAGCGCTGTACAGCGTGAAGCTCAGTGGTGGTCAAAACGGTCCAGAAGGCTGAAGTGGTCCAAAAGGCTGGCGAGCAGTGGGATCAAGGCAGAAGAAGCAACAGCATCAGACACACAGGATGGCCAGCTGTTCAACTCTGCAAAGAAAATCAAACACACTGAGAGTCAGTTCTGTAATGAGTGACTGATCACAGATTGCAGTATAAACAGAGCAGCAGAGACTCCGGCAGGTCTAGTTATTACAGCCTAACTAAAAGGGAGAAACCAGAAGGGTAACAAAGACAGAGAGTCTGTACTGAAATTGTGCACAAAAACTATAGCAGTGCATTGAACAATAAAGACAGCATGCTTCTTTTATATAGTGATAGAGAACATGATTACATACAGAAAATTACAATTCAACACTCATACATTTTACCATGCCCAACTCTGATGTGCATGTCGCAACTAATCTGATGCTGGGTAAGAAATCAGATTATGTCTTAAAGTGGAATTAATGTATAGAACGGGTGATGTTATTCCTCCTTTGCAGCTGACACGTAAGAACCTGATGGTAAAGAACCTAAAGCGCTATAGAAAAACCCTTGAAAGAGAAGCTGGTCGTCTGGAGGCGGCCAAATGTGACTTCTTTCCATGCACCTTTGAACTGCCCAGTGAGTACCATCTCTTTGTGGAAGAGTTCAAGAGAAGTCCTGGCAGTACCTGGATCATGAAGCCAGTAAGAGTCATGTTTAAACTTTAAAGCCATTATTATTCTCAGATATCGCTGCTGTCAGAACAAAACTTTGTATCTCCAATATGGTAACTTTACAGGAGAAGGAAAAAACATGATTTACTTTTAATGTAAGTCAATGGAACCAGACGTTTTTCCAAGTCATTTTGGGCCACTGTTTTTGGTCCATTCATCATAAAATATACACACAATGTAAAGGGCAACAGGCATTTTTAAATTATGATAAAAACTGAAAAATGACAAAAATAGAGATAAGAGGTTTTGTTCCAACAGCAGCGATATACTAGTCTTACATACGGTATTTGACCCGTGCAGCGTGCTAGTGATTGGATGAGACAGTGACACAGTTCTAGCTGTAGTAAGAAATACCCTTCTATTCAGGTGGCACGTTCGCAGGGGAAAGGCATTTTTCTGTTCCGGAAACTCAAGGACATCATGGAATGGAAAAAGGTAAAGCATTTCTTTCTGAGGCTTTTAACTTTGTAAGTCATGCGTGTTCACGGATTGTTATTAACCTTTCATTTTGCTGTGCCCTTCAAATGTAATTGCGTACGTGCGTATTTAGTACAAGATAGTGTGCACAACAATCTTGTATTGTACTAATCAAATTTAAATCACACTAAAATATCTCATCTTTTACTTACAAACACAAATGTGTCTATTGAAAGATAAGAATCCACACTTTGATAGTATTTCTTTCCTTGTTTCACAATATATTTCGAGTAAGAAAGGATTAATATCAAATTATGCAATTCTTTTGTTATTACTGGCAACAGTGTAGGTTTTAAAGGTGAAACATAAGGATTATTATTCAGTAGATATTATGATCATTCAGTAACTGCTATGAAACAAATATACAACGATCAGGCATAACATTATGACCACCTCCTTGTTTCTACACTCATTGTCCATTTTATCAGCTCCACTTACTATATAGGTGCACTTTGTAGTTCTACAGTTACAGACTGTAGTCCATCTGTTTCTCTGATACTTTGTTAGCCCCCTTTTACCCTGTTCTTTAGTGGTCAGGACCCCCATGGACCTTCACAGAGCAGGTGCTATCTGTGTGGTGGATCATTCTCAGTACTGCAGCAACACTGACGTGGTGGTGGTGTGTTAGTGTGTGTTGCGCTGGTCTGAGTGGATCAGACACAGCAGTGCTGCTGGAGTTTTTAAACACCTCAGTGTCACTGCTGGACTGAGAATAGTCCACCAGCCAAAAATGTCTAGCCAACAGCGTCCTGTGGGCAGCGTCCTGTGACCACTGATGAAGGACTAGAGGATGACCAACACAAACTGTGCAGCAGCAGATGAGCTATCATCTCTGACTTTACATCTAAGATGGACGGACAAGGTAGGAGTGTCTAATAGAGTGGACAGTGAGTGGACAAAAAACTCCAGCAGCACTGCTGTGTCTGATCCACTTGTACCAGCACAACACACACTAACACACCACCACCACGTCAGTGTTACTGCAGTGCTGAGAATGATCCACCACCCAAATAGTACCTGCTCTGTGAGGGTCCATGGGGGTCCTGACCACTGAAGAACAGGGTAAAAGGGGGCTAACAAAGTATGCAGAGAAACAGATGGACTACAGTCTGTAACTGTAAAACTACAAAGTGCACCTATATAGTAAGTGGAGCTGATAAAATGGACAATGAGCGTAGAAACAATGAGGTGGTCATAATGTTATGCCTGATCGGTGTATATAAGTTATACTGTGGTTATGAGAGTGAGGATTAAACAAGAAAGCTGTCATAAACTGCAAGACAGAAGCTCACGTTTGTATTATTTTTCCTAGAACGGTACCCGCTCTGAGGAACAAAGGGATGAGGCTCAAGTTGAAAGCTACGTAGCCCAGCATTATATTGAGAACCCCTATCTCATTAACGGTGCATCATCCATTTCACCTATTCACTGTTTTTTTTACTTGCCCTGTCATAACTTTTTAATCATTGCTCCTCTTCGTCTGCAGGCAGAAAATTTGACCTGAGAGTTTATGTTCTTGTAACATCAGTAAGTGAGCTTCAAAAACGCTCCAGATTGAATGTGCTTTATTACATTATGTAGCAGTTGGTTATACGTCTGCTCCAGGCAGCATTTAAAATGTGTGAAAATGACTGCAATATGTTCCTGCAGTACCTCCCTCTGAAAGCCTGGCTGTATAGAGACGGTTTTGCCAGATTCTCCAACACCAGATTCTCCCTCAGCAGTATTGACGATCAGTGTATCCTTTATATGTGTTCAGTCTGCTTTTTATTTGTCCTCCATCTGCTCAAAGTTTATCAGCGTGAAATACATCTGTGGGCTATCTTTAACTGTAATCTACACTCAGATGTCCATCTCACTAATGTGGCAGTGCAGAAAACTGCCCCAGACTATGACCCTGAGAAGGTACGTAATGTTGTCAGTAAAATTACACCATGCACTGTGATGATGTGCAGTATGGGAAATGTATGTAGAAAGTAATAAATTAAGATGAAGGGATAAGCCCTGGTGTACATATGACCTTAAAGAGAGGGTTATAGAATCTGGATTTTTGTTTCTTAATTATAGTAAACAGTCTATCTTTGTGCATCTGAAGCTATTTAGCTTATTATGAGACCATATGCTCCATTTTTAGGTTTCATTAAGTTTAAGATTAAGATTAAGTGACCCTTATTAGTCCCACAACGGGGAAATTTCACCTCCGCATTTAGCCCATCCGTGCAGTGAAACACCACATACACACTTGTGTGCTGGAACAGAGAAGGTTCTTCCCCAGACTGCTCCCACATGGTTCGAAGCATGTCCAAAATGTCTTGGTACACCAAAGCATTAAGATTTCCTTTCACTGGAACTAAGGGTTCTAGACCAACCCCTGAAAAACAACCGCATATCATCATCCCTCCTCCACCAAATTCTACAGCTGGAACAGTGCAGTCAGGCAGATAACGTTCTCCTGGCATTCGCCAAACCCAGACTCGTCCATCAGACTGACTGACAGAGAAGCTGATTCATCATTCCACAGAATACGTTTCCACTGCTCCAGAGTCCAGTGGCGGTATGCTTTACCTAAACCCCCCACCCCACCCCCTTTTGGCATTGTGCATTTTGATCCTAGGCTTACCTGCTTGGCCATGGAAACCCATTTTGTGAAGCTCCTGATGTGCAGTTCTTTCGCGGATGTTGCTTCTAGAGGCAATTTGGGACTCGTTAGTGAGGGATTCAACAGAGAATAATTACTATGCGCTTCAGTGCTCACCCGCCCCACTCTGTAGGTTTGCTCTACTGCTTCGTGGCTGAGCCGTTGTTGCTTCTAGATGCTTTCATTTTACAATAATAGCACTTACAGTTGACAGGGGCAGATCTAGCAGGCCTGAAATTTCACAAACTGACTTGTGGCAGAGGTGGGGTCCTATGCCAATGCCACGTTTAAAGTCACTGACCTCATCAGCACGACCCATTCAACTACTCATTCTGTTAGCAATGGGTGTGGCTGAAACACCAGAACTCAATAATTAGAAGGTGGGTCCCAATACTTTTGTCTATATAGTGTACATATAATTGGAAAAAAATATATAATAACAAAAATAAATGCATTTTGAAAATATGTTAACGAATACATTTTTTGGCCATTTTATAAATTTCAAAAATATATTTGTTAAATACATTTTCAATAATTTCTTTTTCAATATGGGAAAAGTATTCTAGTTAATTTAGGGTAAAATGGTTCAAGAATTGTGTGATACTCTGAAGGTTTTGTCTATGGATCTATATGGCTGCGTTCACATTACCAGGTTGAAGTGGCACAAATCTGATTTTTTGCCCTAATGTGACTCAGATCTGATGTTTTCAGAGCTGTGTGGACACAAATCTGATCTTTTCAAATCTGACCTGAGCCACTTTCATATGTGGTCCTAGATCAGACATGTATCTGATTCGTGGCCATGCGACCTTAATGTGACGCTCAGATCGGAATTCATGTGCTTTTTTCCCACTGCGCGTGCACCATCATTCAGCGTTACCATGGCAGCAGCGCCGAACAGAAGTTAAAGCCTGTAAACGGCAGAAAAGCAGCTCATCTCACCTTTTTCTCCTTCGTCTCGCTCTAATAATGAAGCTGAGAGCTGATCAGAGTTAATTATCTTCTCAGCGAAGCTCGTTCTGCTCGTTAGTTTGTGCTGATGATGAACGTGATTCATTCACGTGACATTACTGAGTAGGATGAGCTCATGAGGGTCATTTCAGGACGCCGGTTCGTCACATTAATGACAGATTTGAATCACTTACCTAAACGAGTGTGAACCATCGGGTAAAAGAGATCGGATTTGAGCAAAAAATCGGACTTGAGCGATGAGGCTTGTAATAGGATCATAGCTTATGTTTGCTAGTTTAGTTGCACATGGTTATGAAATGCACATTTTTGGGGATTTTTGCTACTGTTAATGTGTATGTTGCACCTTTCAAAAGAGAGTGTTAATGAAATGGCTGCTATTATGTGGAGAAATAAAGTGAAAGCATGTGAATAAAGTTCTTTCTGTTTGTCCACAGGGTTGCAAATGGCAGATGCATAAGTTACGACGCTACTTGACTGCAAAACATGGCAGCGAGACAGTGGAAGCTCTTTTTAAAGACATTGACAACATATTCATCCGCAGCTTGCAGAGCGTTCAGAAGGTCATCATTAATGATAAGCACTGTTTTGAACTGTATGGATTTGACATACTACTGGACCAGGATCTCAAGCCGTGAGTGGTCAGCCTTCTGTAACTGCTTACTAGCTTTTTCACTCTTATAATAACGGCTTACTTACGACAATAGATGTGCATCTGTATATTAGTCCTCACCTCTGTCGCGTGCATGCTGAGTAACTGTTTTAACTGTTATTTTAGTTCAACATACCACCAGCTCTATTTAATGATACTTTTGGACCTTTGTGATCATTAGAACACTACATGGCCAAAATGAGTAATTACTGGGTTCAGTTATTTCAGCCAAACCCACCCACTGCTGTCAGTGTCAATAAAATCCAGCATAAGTTCTCAGCTCAGCCACAAAGTGGTAGGCCACACAAGCTCATAGAACGGGACGGGAGTGCTGAAGCACATATGATGTAAAAATCCTCTGTGCTTTATTGCAACACTCACTGCCAAGTTCCAAACTGCCTCTGGAAGCACAAGTCAAGTCAAGTCAAGTCAAATTTATTTATATAGCGCCTTTTACAACAGATGTTCTCACAAAGCAGCTTTACAGAGAATCCGGGTCCACGCCCCCAGTGAGCAAGCCTTGGCGACAGTGGCAAGGAAAAACTCCCTCAACAGGAGGAAGAAACCTCGAGAGGAACCAGACTCAAAAGGGGAACCCATCCTCCTCTGGTCGACACCGGATAACAGCACAGACACAAAACAGTATAAGTGGATACAGTTTAACACCACTGTGCAGTGCGCCGGCCGCATCAGTCACGTCAGACCCTCTTAGGACAGGCAGCCGCTCAGCTCAGGGAAAAAGAGGGGGAGGGGGAAAGAGGGGGAGGGGGGGGATGGGGGGAGGGGGGATGGGGGGGTAAGAGGGACATAGTTAGGTAAACCAATTAACCAAAGGCTCGACTAAACAGGTACGTTTTTAGCCTAGACTTACAGATGGAGGCTGTGTCTGAGTCCCGAACACAGACTGGTAGGTTATTCCAAAGCTGGGGGGCGTGGTATGAAAAGGCTCCTCCCCCTGACGTAACTTTATTTATTCTGGGTACTAATAATGAGCAGCACCTTGTGATCTAAGTGGGCGTGTCGGTTGATAATAGGAAATAAGGTCACTGAGGTACTGAGGAGCAAGGCCATTCAGAGCTTTATACGTCAGTAGAAGAATTTTGTACTCAGTGCGGAATTTAACTGGCAACCAATGTAAGGTACACAAGAACTGTTTGTCGGAAGCTTCACTCTATTCGTTCCTAGTTGTAGTGGAAAGCCTTCCCAGAAGAGTGGATGTTATTATAACAATAAAGGGGCACCAACTCCATATTAAAGCCCATCATTTTGGAACAAGGTGTTCAAGATTAGAGATGTTCAGGTTTAGGTGTCCATGTTCTTTTGGCCAGTTGGAGGATTTTGGGCCTGAGTGAGCTCTAATTTAGTCTTGGACGTTGTAAACAAATAGTGTGCAGCTCTTGGTTCTTGCAGTGTAAGCAGTAAAAGGTACAGAGATTTTAATATTCAGTGTAATAAAAGAACTTGAATTCTGCTAAGTCACTGACTGACATTTATCCCCGTAGCTGTTGTGCTTAGCACTAAAGCAGCTTTTCAGAATTTTTTCAAGCTTTGAGCCCATCTCTTGTCACACTAAAATGCCCCTAACATGGAAAACCTCTTTGAAATAAAGGATTTTGATGCAGTATGTAAGCATTCAAGTTTCAAAACATACCTTTCTCTCCCTAGTCAATACAGTCCATACATACAAATGAAAACAAAGCTTTAAAAACAGCTCAATTTGAATTTGCTGTTTTTGTGATGTCAGAATTATGGAACTATGGCCCTAAAATGCCATATTTACTTCATTTTTCCATGATAACAAGCACATTATTATTTAAAGGCACAGTAACAGAAACAGCCTGTTTCATTTTCAAAGCGATAAAGAGAAGTTGCAAGATGGACATGTAAGATAAACGGACATAATTTATTTTGACATTTATCTTCAATTCAAAACGTCTGTCTTTCAAGATGTATGGAATGTAGATTTGGAGATTTAGCTGATATACACCGATCAGGCATACCATTATGACCACCTCCTTGTTTCTATGCTCATTGTCCATTTTATCAGCTCCACTTACTATATAGGTGCATTTTGTAGTTCTACAGTTACAGATTGTAGAAGACTGTGTCCACTCACTGTCCACTCTATTAGACACTCCTACCTTGTCCGTCCACCTTGTAGATGTAAAGTCAGAGACGATAGCTCATCTGCTGCTGCACAGTTTGTGTTGGTCATCCTCTAGTCCTTCATCAGTGGTCACAGGATGCTGTTGGCTGGATATTTTTGGTTGGTGGACTATTCTCAGTCCAGCAGTGACACTGAGGTGTTTAAAAACTCCAGCAGCACTGCTGTGTCTGATCCACTCGTACCAGCGCAACACACACTAACACAGCACCACCACGTCAGGGTTACTGCAGTGCTGAGATGATCCACCACCCAAATAGTAGCTGCTCTGTGAGGGTCAATGGGGGTCCTGACCACTGAAGAACTGAGTAAAAGGGGGCTAACAAAGTATCAGAGAAACAGATGGACTACAGTCTGTAACTGTAGAACTACAAAGTGCACCTATATAGTAAGTGGAGCTGATAAAATGGACACTGAGCGTAGAAACAAGGAGGTGGTCATAATGTTATTCCTGATCGGTGTACTATGTACATGTAAGCATTAATATGATAATCCTTGATAAACTGTTCAGTGTTCCCTGTGAAAGATCTCTGTTTCTAACGACTGCACTCACTATCCATCCAACCCGTAAATTATTCAGACAAGAGTTACAGCTGTAGCTCTCAAGATGATAGCTGTATTATTTTCTGCCTGTCTCTCTGCAGGTGGCTGATTGAGGTGAATGCTTCTCCCTCCCTCACTGCCAGTAGCCAAGAGGATTATGAATTGAAGTACAGGCTGCTAGAAGACACTCTGCACATAGTTGACATGGAAGGCCGGTATGATGTTATAAAATATTAAAAGGTATAATAGGTAGTATTGCATGTTTCACATGTTTCATATTCCAAGCATGATGCCAGTCATATATCTTTATATTATAATAGAGCAGAACATTTTGAACTCCACCATGAGAAAAATATACTATAGTTTTAGTTTAATATCCTACTTGTTGTACCTTTGAAGCTTTCAAAAAATGACTGTAGTGTGTATAGTACACAGAATGTCTTAAAGCCATGTTACTGCTCTCAGTCTCACAGGCAGAGAAAAGAGGGTTGGGGGTTATGACCTGATGTGGAATGAAGGACCTGTTCACAGGGAGGATGTCAGCTTGGAGACTTTGGGAAGCACCTACCAAATACCCAACACACACCTCGGTCAGTTTTTATTATGGCCATTTACCTTGTTGTTATTAGTAGATGTGAAATACAGGGTGATTCAATAAGATTAATCCGATTTCAAAATTATTTTTCTCACTTGTAAATCATTACAGAACAAGGCAGTAAATTGTAAATGGTTTAACTGAATCTTTTTGAATCACCCTGTATATTAGTCATCTTTTATGAAAATCTTAAATTAATCACTGACAAATAAATTTTCTACCCTAAAACAGGCTGTGTGAATGATAGGAAGAAACAGCTTCGACAGCTCTTGAAGCCTTTTCCAGGACAAAAGAGAGCATGAAAATCTCCTCTGATACTCAGTATTCTAGTACAACAACATATTCATACTGATAGAGGTTTGATTTGTGTAGATGTACTGTGTAAAGTTAAAAATCTCCAGATCAGATATTGTGACTGTGAATATCCTGCAAACCAGCACTTTCATGTGTGTAAAAGAATGACTCTGCAGAAATGAAATAAACAAGCCAAATTCTGATGATGTCATGAAAAACTTTATGCTGTTTCTTCAAAAATAGCTGCATTCATCTCTACTGAAAATTATGTCCCGGGAAAACAACAGCACAGCCTGGTAAGGTACTTAAACATTCCCTCCCTCATGAAATGTCTGATGGATTTACAGAGACATCAAAAATGAAGTGATACTAAGTATAAGTGCAGAAATACTGTAGCAAGTACTACCTCAACCAGGCACCATCCAACATTATTCAAGTACAGATATCATGTAAAAAACTACACAATTACTCCGTCACTACCATTACTGTCCTGGTATAATGAACACATGCAGCCTTGAAAGACACAATGAACAATCGAATGCACCTTTTCAGGAATGGAATCTGAAGAAGAAACCTTACAATTAAATGAAGATACTGAGAAAAGGCCATGGTCTCAAAGAAAATACATTTTTGACGGCGCTACTGTCCCACACAAAAAAAAATAAATAAATAAAATACTAAACAAATGCATTCATTGATCATTTCTACAGCAGATGATGCCACTACATCTTATGAAAAGTTGTGGCTAGGTTTTTTATGGTCTTTGAAATATGCAAGTTCCACACATATTGCAAGCAATACATATTTAACCAAACAAAAAAGGGCAATAAATAAGAAATAAATAGTTTGCAAAAATAGATTGCCTAAATTAAATAGAGAAAAGCCCTTATACGTAACACATTACAAAAATACATGTAGCCGTTACAAAACATTCATTATTCATCTCAAAAATATACATTCTTTGACCAATATTATTACCAATCGGAACGTTAAGTGATGCACAGCTAGCATCAAGATAGCAAAGGCTCAGACACTTCAAAACACACGCTGTTCACATCTCCAGCAAACCCTAAATGTACAAACTTAAAATGTGAATCAGAAATAAGTTTTTATAACTTTATAACTGCCTCTTGTACCAATAACTGATTCAACCTGAATACATACATCTGATGTCTGAATAACCCTAACTGAGTTGTAAGCAAATCTACCGTAAAATTAAAACTTTGTTCTATTACATCTGACAACTTAAACAAAAACTGTCATCCAGAAATTGGAGGAACTACAGCTTGATCTTTTGTAAATAAATACTTAGTACATACTGTGCGCTTAGTGTTGCAGATGATGTTTCTGATGAACCACATATGAGACTTATGATCTTGTTACTTGGCAAACTGGATATTTTTCACTTTCCCATTTGCCCTGGCAGCTGAGGTGCCCTTAAAGCCATTACTTTCACTGGCCGCTCTTTTAGCCCAAGCCCTTGCTCCACTACTCCCGTTCTCTGTCCTCTGCCCTTCTTTTTCTCCTCTCTTTCCTGGACCACCACTCTCTCGCTTACCAGCAACAACCTGCTTGTCGGCACCCATACTTTTCCCTCCCATAGTTAAATCTTTCTGCCTATCTGCCTCAACTGCCCTGCTGGTGCGCCCTTTCCTGGCCGGAGGCTGACCTTTGCTGTTAGCGCCGAGTTCCTGAGAAGCTCTGCGCATGTTCCCGGAGGCCTGCATGTGTTTCTGGTGGCCTTTCCCTGCCTGCGGACTGACAGGATGCTGAACTTTTTGGTATGTGCCCCGGTTCTCTGAGGCCGAGGCCCGGCTCTCGCTGCTGCTTCTCTTCTGGGTGATGGTGGGAGGGGCTTTGCGCTCCAGCAGGGGGCTGAGGCGGGAGTGGCGCTGGTAGGCGTATGAAGAGCAGCTGCCGTTGCAGAGTGGGTAGCGGACATGGCAGTGAGGGCAGACAGGCCGAGAGAGCTGACCAGAAGATGGGCTGCCAAGAGAAGAGAGGAGAGTGAAGGGGAAGCCCCGCTGGGTCTGGCGCAGGCTCTTAGGGGAACTGAGGCGTGTGGGTGGCGCAGTGTGGGGCCGGGGACGACTTGTGATTGGTGGACCGATAGGGGCACGACCCCTGGGACGGATGATGGGGGCTGTGGGCCGGCCACTTTCAGCCTGGATAGTTTGGATCTGGTGCCACTCCAGCTGCAGAAGACGTTCTAAGAACTTCTCAAGCTGCCCCACTGGTTTGGGTCTCGGGGCACGTTTACCCTCCGTGTTCAGGAACATGGCCAGTTGCCTCAGGCTCCAGGTGTTGAACGGTGGAGGCAGAAAGTCTGGGTAGCTATAGCCGTCGCTCTCTGTTTGTGCTGTCCTGGGGCCCGGTATATGAGGGTGCAGGTCCATCGAATTGATGACTTCTGCACGGAGGTTGAGTTGTGGAGGAGTGCAGGGAGAAGGCAGAACAGGGAGCCTCTCAGAGTCTGACAGGTCACTGGCGCTATCTGTGTCATCCTCTTTGTGCTCCAGGAGACGCAGCGACTCCAGGTCAGGGATGTGTTTCTGCAGGGGGATCTGATGCAGTGCTGGCTGAGGAGCCAGTGGCAGTGATAAAGCGCGGCGGCTCTTCTCTCGGGCAGCATGGCTCCTCTCCACATCACTGCAGCACTGGGACTGAGACTGTACCTTCTGCCTCTCCTCCTCACACGTATGAGAGGGTTTGGATCTGGGGTGCCTTAAGTCAGCTTCACCTTGGGTGCTGCTAAAATACATATCACATGTTAATGGTTTTGGAAGGAATATAAAAAAGGCACAGTAGAAATTGCAAGAACAAACTTACTTAGAAATCTTGCATGTGCCAGCTGTAGGACTCTTGACGGGCTTTGGTCTGTTTCCATTTTGGCCCTTATTATAATATATAAGAGATAATTAGGTTTTTTTTATATGTATTGCTAGACATACAGCTATGCATACAGGAAAATAACATTTGAACTATGCAAACAGGATCCTATACTCACAATTTCAGCTCGGGACAAGGGCTCCTTGTTCTGGACTGGAAGGATGTTCTTATTCAGCGAGCTTGTTTTCTTCTGAGGTTTCTGGTTCTGATTGACCTTGCCTCCTCTTTTATTGTTGCTGAAAGTGAAGACACTTCTATGAGATGCAGCCCAGATACAGATGTACGTAAAACGTGCAGGCTTTCATAAAGTTTCCTTTCATCATTTCACCAGCTAATAATGCCACATACCTGGTAACGATCCCAGTATTTTCCACATTCTTCACTCTAACCTTCTCTTTCACCTGCACCCTCTTCAAGATCGTCGATGCCGTTCGTTCCTGCAGGATGGGTCCCATTGCGACGGAACAAATTCTGCCTTTTGCCGCAGCTGCTACTGTTTGTGTAGACAAACGTCCAGTTTAAAGCCTTGAATTCGTCCTGCCAGACTAAATCGCTCCATTGCAGAAAGTCACGACGTTTGGGCTTCGTTTCGCACACATCCAAACGGTAAACACGAATTACAGCAGCTGGCTTAGCTACTTATTCACATATCCGGATCAGAAACTCCTCATTTTTAAACATTACATTCAGCAGATCGACATCAGGCATCACGTCTAAGCAGCAACATCCGTGTCTGACAAGGTGCTATTGTGTAAACCACGGTCAAACCCGTTGTTTTGCATCACTGAGGTCTTTCTTGGTCTTGTTTACCTGCTGCTTGTACGTTCGCCGCTATCATAATCGCGCTGCATGACGGGAATTGTAGTGCGCCGCAGAGCGAATTCCAGTAGATGGGCATGTTTCCGCAGACCGTGGCGATTATTCGCAGAGTGGATGCAAACAGTACTTATTAAACGAATACTAACGGGACACTTAAATGGGTTTGACTGACCCTTCGCTGAAATCTGTTTAGTGCTTCCGTCTAACCGACAGCATTACCCACAAAGGGGTGGTGCAGCAGTCACGCCCCCTCCTCCGAGTGCGTGTGAGTGATTGTCATCACGTTTGCCAGCTTTTCGCAGTTTGTGATCTACGTTTGGATAAATATCTGCAATTCCTAGTCTTTTTGCTGCGCTCGGCTGTTTTATAAACGCCGATGGAGGATCGACAGACGCAACAAATAGCAAAACACGTCGGATTTTAATGGTGAGACGATATGACGCACGAGCTACTTCCCTGTCTGTCTGCAAAGACAATGTAGGCTTGCAGTTATTTATTTAGCCCGCACCGAGAAGGTCAGTGCCACGTTTCATGCAAACAGTCTGAAAATAACCTTGAAACAGAACGAAACTGTCGAAAAGCCTTGCACCTTTTATTGAAATACATGGCAAAAAAATATATTTCGTGCGTGCCACCACAGCTGTACTCAATCCAGACCACTGCTTTAATGACTTGTGACGTTACATCTTTTTTTTATGGAAAATGAAACTGAATAAAGTTTCCGTTTTGTTTTCCTCAAGGTGCAGAGGAGCTTTATGTTGCTTCTAGAATGGCTTACTCTATGGGACATAGCCAGGAAAATACACTCCCAGGAGGGAGAGATGATGAGCTATTTTTTGTTGGGGTGTCAGGTGTCTCAAAGCAGGCTTCCCCTCCGAGCTTCAGAGCTCCACCCTGGTCAAAACCCGAAGAAGACAGAAGGCCTGTCAGAATCCGTCCACCTAGCCCCAGGGCTCCGCAACCAAGGACGGCAGGCCGCAGTCTCTCATGCGAACCCCCTCCCAAGCCCATCATTCAGAGGCGGACACAGTCCCTGCCGTCCCCTTCGGAAAGGAGGAGGCTCAGCCGCAGAATCGGGGTCCGATTTGTGGACTCGTTAGGGATGGACCTGGAGAATGTGAAGGTTTTCAAAAGGGGAGAGGACCCGTTCGTGCCAGAACATGTTCTCTTCAGACTTCTGATGAATGCAGAGCTGGCAGCCAGCAAAGGCCTGGAGATATCCCTCCCTTACTTGAAACCCGTGTTCTCAGATCAACCAGGCGACTGTCCGAGCTTTCTGGAACGTCTGTGCCGCCAGAAAGTGTGTCTGGAACATGTTTTGTGCTATGAGCCAGGCATTATCGGTATCGTCCAGGTCCTAAACTTGGCTTTTGAAAAAGAGGTTAGCGTGCGCTACTCTTTCACAAACTGGAAGAGCTGCACGGAAACAAAGGCCTACTGGGTTGCTAATAAACAAATGGAAGGCCATTCCAGTGGATACAGCTGTGACACTTTTCGCTTCCATCTTCCGGTTCCTCCCTTTATCCTTCATCCAGGGGCAGTCTTGGAGTTCGCAATCTGTTATAAAGTGCTGAACACTCAGTTCTGGGACAACAACGAGGGGCAGAATTACAAGTTAGTCTGCCAGAGCTACAACCTTCCTGTTCCAAAGGAAATCGAAGACAGCATGATACACTTCATCTGAACTCTCTACGTCAGTGTATATATTCCTACTTGGGTATAGGCTACTTTACCTAGCACTGAATAACAGTATTAAAGTAGGGCCTAACAGTGAGTTGACACAGCTCTACTTTTAGCCTGTTCACTACAGTGTCTGACAATTTGGTTCTTAATTGAGTCAGTTCTCAGTTATCTGAAAATAAATAACACAGAATACGCCTACTTTCAGAATACACCGATCAGGCATAACATAATGACCACCTCCTTGTTTCTACGCTCATTGTCCATTTTATCAGCTCCACTTACTATATAGGTGCACTTTGTAGTTCTACAGTTACAGACTGTAGTCCATCTGTTTCTCTGCATAATTTGTTAGCCCCCTTTTACTCAGTTCTTCAGTGGTCAGGACCCCCATGGACCCTCACAGAGCAGGTACTATTTTGGTGGTTTATCATTCTCAGGACTGCAGTAACACTGACATGGTGGTGATGTGTTAGTGTGTGTTGCACTGGTCTGAGTGGATCAGACACAGCAGTGCTGCTGGAGTTTTTAAACACCTCAGTGTCACTGCTGGACTGAGAATAGTCCATTAACCAAAAATATCCAGCCAACAGCATCCTGTGGGCAGCATCCTGTGACCACTGATGAAGGTCTAGAGGATGATTAGCTCATACTGTACAGCAACAGATGAGCTATTGTCTCTGGCTTTACATCTACAAGGTGGACCAATAACGCAGGTACGTCTAATAGAGTGGACAGTGAGAAGACACAGTGTTTAAAAACTCCAGCAGCACTGCTGTGTCTGATCCACTCAGACCAGCACAACACATACTAAGACATCACCACCTCATCAGTGTTACGGCAGTGCTGAGAATGATCCACCACCCAAATAATACCTGCTCTGTGAGGGTCCATGGGGGTCCTGACCACTGAAGAACAGGGTAAAAGGGGGCTAACAAAGTATCAGAGAAACAGATGGACTACAGTCTGTAACTGTAGAACTACAAAGTGCACCTATATAGTAAGTAGAGCTGATAAAATGGACAATGAGTGTAGAAACAAGGAGGTGCTCGAAATGTTGTGCCTGATCGGTGTATTTCACTTGCACGCCAGCATTAGTAGAAGTTAGGGGACCAGCTTAAAGGGAGATTCCACCAGGTTTTTAAAATTTCTGAATAATTCAGTCATTGAGATGTGCACTGAGTCATTCATAGTGGTTTGATGTGAAGTGGTTCTTTGTGGAGCAACTTACAGTCTCAGATTTCTTTACAGTGGTGGTGATAGGAACCAGGGGTCCCATGTCACAACACAGATATAGCCATTTTATTTACTATCCAAAACCACCAGTGAACCCACACGTGCCTTCTGGGTTTTATATGCAGTGTTGATGGTAAAATAGAAGAAAATCTGAAAATAAAAGTTTTCTTTGGGGACTTTTTTGCCTTACAACACCCTGCATGTATCTCTCTGTCATGTCTAGATTAATTTTTTGCCAAAACTATAATAAAATAATGTGCCACCAGACATTAGGCAGTATATATATATATATATATATATATATATATATATATATATATATATATATATATATACATAAAACCATTTGTAATAATGTAATAACTTTATGTGTAAGAGCTTTTAGAGGCATTAATCTCTTCGGACGTCTGGATCCTATGACCGCCTCTGTGAGCAGTTCTGACTATGCAAGTTTCTCTATGACAGAGCATTTCGCATCAAACCTCTCTGAAGGACTTTGTTTATATCTCAACCATTTAATTATGTAGTATTTTTTGAAAAATCAGTGGAGTTCCCCTTTAAGCCTCTACTTCTGCATTACTAACCCAGCAGTGTACAGAAAACCACTGAGCAGTGCCATCACTCACACAGCCAAATGTTTTATGCTGATGGAGTAGAGCATATTTATGCACCTTGCTTCTAAAACTTGAAAGTATTAAAGCGAATGAATATGAAATAATATGAAAAATATTCTGACAGCTGTAAAAGTGTGTGATTTGAGTGTTCTGATCTTCGAGGGTCGCACTAAACTGCACTAAAACGTTCTCACTGATTGCCAAATCCTCTTGTGGATAACAGAAGTGCCTGTAAAAACACTTATTTTGGTGTTAATTTCAATAAACAAATTTCTATTCACAATTCTGTGTTTTTCATGCTGGTGCAACGCCAAGCGCGTGAGATGTTGTTTCCCGCGCTCCGGTACCTCATCTCTCTGTGGAGAAACCAGCCTTAGGGTGGTGATTATTCCACATCTGGAATATTTTAATCATTTAATAGTTGTTTCTTCCATATTTTAGTTGTAGAACAACATTTAAGCTTTCATCTACTGATGTTTTTTAATACGTGACTTAACGAGCCATTAATTTGTCAAAGGTAGAATCGGAGTAAGCGGCTTTCACTCTGAGGTAAAATAATCAACCTAGGTAAGCTAACTAGTTAGCTAACGGCTAACTTTATCTGACTGGATAGTGAATCGTTGGATGTTCCTTCAATGTTTAGTTATTGTTTGGTGTTCGACATAAAATAAGTTAACGTTAAGGTTCAGTTTAACCTGTTTACTCGAACAGCAACGTTAGCTAATAACGTAATCTGGAACAAGCCCCGATGCTGTGGCTATTGGGCTGACAAGAAATTGTTAGCTACGCTCAGAACGTCAAACGCCAAACTGTTTGGCCAGTGGCTCTACAAACAGGACTCTACACAAGAGTACAGACTGGTTTGATAGCTGTTCGTCACTGTGAAGGATGGAGCAAAGTTAAATTGTGATGAGGTAAGTTAACTAGGTTATCTAGTGTAGTTAACCAGCTAAACTTGTAACGTTAATAACGTTATTCCATTCAGATAGCTGGCTACGCTAGCTGGCTTTCATTCCCGTGGTAGTTCATCAAACGTCTAGGCTGTTCTTTAAAAGAGGTGTGGGACTGACTTTATTTTTAGTCAGGTAATTAACTTAACAAATTAACGTTTACTTAGGCTAGGCTGTGTGGATATTGTATGGATGCACCGATTTGGGAATTGTGGGCCGATGGCGATCGGCCCACAGTGTCACTGCTGGACTGAGAATAGTCCACCAACCAAAAATATCCAGCCAACAGCGTCCGGTGGGCAGCGTCTTGTGACCACTGATGAAGGTCTAGAGGATGATTAGCTCATACTGTACAGCAAGAGACAAGCTCTTGTCTCTGGCTGTACATCTACAAGGTGGATCACCAACACAGGTGCGTCTAATAGTGGACAGTGAGTGGACACAGTGTTTAAAAACTCCAGCAACACTGCTGTGTCTGATCCACTCGTACCAGCACAACACACACTAACACACCACCACGTCTGCGTTACTGCAGTTCTAAGAATGATCCACCACCCAAATAGTACCTGCTCTGTGAGGGTCCATGGGGGTCCTGACCACTGAAGAACAGGGTAAAAGGGGGCTAACAAAGTATGCAGAGAAACAGATGGACTACAGTCTGTAACTGTAGAACTACAAAGTGCACCTATATAGTAAGTGGAGCTGATAAAATGGACAATGAGTGTAGAAACAAGGAGGTGGTCATAATGTCATACCTGATCGGTGTATATGCGGATACCATGACATAAACATTTAGCTATAGAGATTGTGACATCTAACTGCATTGGCATTATAGAGGGATAGAACATGAATAGGATCTAAAGTATTATAAGTGCAGTAAATTGAATACAATGCAGACATTTTGGCACAGCCCAAACATTCTGCAGTACCATAAACATGAAATATTGGATAGAAATATCGGTCAAATCATATCATCTGTCCAATGCTTTTTTTTAAGCAACCTGTTTCTAATAATAAAATATAATTCTACAATATTGGCATAGATGAATCTAATCTTTTAGGTCCCCTTTTTAATGTTTCATATTCCCAGATGGTATTTTTCTGTTCAGTTTGTGAGACACAATTTCACCGTGAAAGTGTAACAACAAATTTAAGCTTTTTAGTGCTTTTGCTGTTGCTATCACTGAAATATTTCAATGCAGATTTGCCACTTCCTGTTTTTCAGATCCGTGCTTTAAACATAAATTGAGATGTAAAACCTGTTTCTGCAGATCCTCTAAGCTCGTCAAGATATAGCTGTATGTATGTTAATGTTGTTCATCTTTAACTACTAATTTATACAATTGAATTTGTTTTTCAGCTGAGTATGAAATGTAAGCCTTCATTTAAGAAGTGATGTTACTTCTCCTAGGTCAGAAACCGGAATCATGGCAACTGATCCAGGCCAACAGGTGAGAATGAATAAACATCCAGTATGTTTCTTTACTGTCACTTGAAAATATCCAAATGATAATTAAGCAATAGAACACAAGAGGGAGTGTGTTATCGCGAAATAACATCACGGCTGTGATTTGGTCGCCGTAGATCATCACAGCCGTGATGTTATTCACGACGCGGGAAGGGCCTGGGTTCGATTCCTGGCTGGGTGACCAGGGTCGTTTCTGTGTGGAGTTTGCATGTTCTCCCCGTGTCTGCGTGGGTTTCTTCCGGGTACTCCGGTTTCCTCCCACAGTCCAAAAACATGCAGTCAGGCCAATTGGACGTGCTAAATTGCCCCTAGGTGTGAGTGTGTGTGTGATTGTGTATGTCTGTCTGTCTGCCCTGCGATGGACTGGCGACCTGTCCAGGGTGTATCCTGCCTTCCGCCCAATGACAGCTGGGATAGGCTCCAGCACCACACCGCGACCCAGAAGGATAAGCGGTTTAGATGATGGATGGATGGATGGATGGATGGATAAATAATCTGGGCCATAAACGCGGCGTTTAATATGTTTTAATGTTCGCAGTTCCTTCACCAAATTATAGTTCCTTAACAAGCAGCTTGTTGCTACCTCACAGTAACGAGCTCCGCCCATTCGCTGCACAGCCGGCAGTTCGTTCCCCATCTCTTCACACTAAACTCCCAAACTGGCATCACCACAAGCTCTTTTTTGTTTTTTATTGCGGCACATTTGGGACTACACATTTGGCAAATGGTATTTGGTTCATTTCTGGCTGATTCCAGGTTGTTTAGCTGTTATTCTGTCTCAGCGGCCGACTGAGAAGCTGCTCAGTGGTGATGACGGTTTGGGAATTTAGTGTAGTCTCATCTTCAGAGTCTTACCAAATCGGCTGTCGGTCAAATGTGATCTTGAAAGTATCCATTTTCTGTTTGTGGCAAAGTAAGAAGTAAAAACGTTCAAATGGCTTGAGCGTCTTCTACAGCTGTCAAAGTCGTTGCTTAGCAGCGGCGTCTCAGCGGAGTGACACAGTGTTTGTGAAAAACCTGTGATGTTATGGCGAAATAGCACGGTTAGAACGCTTCTCAACCAATCAGCTTGCGTGGCCAGAACTAACTGTTGTATAATAAGCATTAAAATCTGTTTATGTTTGCCTGTTTGTCTCTTATTCCCGTTTTACGTGATCCCTGTTTCCATTGAGGCCTACTTGGCAAGCAAATTTCATCGAAGCATCACTGTGTCAGTTACACTGAAGGATACAGAGAACAGTGTCGTGTGCGATGTGGGGAGCAGGGGAAACACACATTTCTAATGTTAGTCCCTGCAGAAACTGAGTGCACGTTACCAATACAGGGGAAGTTTCCTCTCAGTAGCTAAGAAACACAATAAACCGCTTGTTAATTATCACGTTGCTGACATACCCATTTAAACCTGAGAGACTCTAGTCTCTAATCATTGACCAGTGGTGTAAACTGACATGATGCTTGACAGAAGAAACTTTGTCATGAAATGAGACTTTTGGAAAATTTCAGTGCAGAGGATTTTTCATGTTATATAAAAGCATATTTATATGCATCAATTTGCACTTAGATGGAGAGTCTAGTGGATGAGGCTTTGAAGCACAGTAACTTTAAGGGCCTGGAACATTTCTTACTAGAGGAGACCAGCGAGGGTAGAACGTCTAAATGCTCCAACAAGTTCATTTCCAAACTGGACAAACTGATCAACAGGGTTGGTATTTGAGGTTTTGCCATTTCTTATGATAATGAAAATAATACATTGCCAGATTATGAATTCATGCTTTGCATAGGAGCTGGATCACAGGAATGTGAAGAATGCTTCTGTGGTATTTACCATTCTACACAAGTGGGGGGACACACTGGTCTTTCCGGTGGGTGAAGGTATATCTGCAATGGTGTCACAAGGTCTTGTCAGAAAGATAAGTACATATGCCTTTGTGTCATTGCTGTGTCTAAATTTCGGAAGAAATAGAATGTAAATATGACTTTAAGTATGGACGTTCACATGGTGCAGTGGTTTGAAAGAGTCAGAAAGTTATGGATTGAAGCTGGACTAGTGAGGAGTGAGGTGATGTTAAACCTAGCAGAAGACTTCTTTGATGCACTCATGGTGAGTATTTACGGTTTCCTAAATATTTTCTGATTTAATGCATTTTTTTATTACTGTAAAGCAGCAGTGCCCAATCCTGGTCTCGGAAATCTACCACCCTGGAGAAATTAGTTCCAACCCTAATCTAACAAACCTGATCCGGTTAATGAAGACCTTAGAAGGCATCTGAATATTCTATATTCTGAAAATATAGGGTGATTCAAAAAGATTCATCTGATTTCAAAATAATTTATTTCACTTGTAAATCGTTACAGAACAATGCAGTAAACTGTAAATGGTTTAAATGAGCATAAAGTTTATTATGTAATTTTACAAGTGCTTTATATGAAACTCCTCCAGCTGTACGGACAACATCAACGCCATAGTCAAATTCACCCCATACTCGATTGAGCATGTCGGGTGTTGCTGCATTCACGGCTCTTTCAGTGCGATTTCGGAGATCATCCAGTGTTGTGGAACCAACGACGAACGCTCTGAGCTTTTTGAGGTTCACTGGTGACGACAATCACTTTGCACAGTTATGACGGATTCATTCTTATTGAAGTGGAGAACGCAAAACGCTTTCTGCTCAGGGGTCTCATCACCTCACAGACTGAAGGGAGCCATCTTCTGGTGACGATCAGAAACTCTATGACCCCCCTTTCAATTGGATTGAGATTGGTTCCCAGGCTCCTCACGGTTGTAAAAATATGACACTTTCAAATCGGATTAATCTTTTTGAATCACCCTGTATGAACTCTTGAGGGTGGTAGAAGGCCAAAACCGATTTATTTGAGGTGAACTGAATTTTGTATCCAGATGGTACTAAAATAACTGCATGTAATATACACACATTAAATCAAAGTCTTTTTCACTCTTGAATGTTGTGCCCCTTCAGGCTGTTCATGAAAGTTGTAAAGAGGGTAAGTGTTCATTTTATTTTACAATCTCATATTTTCTCATAAAATCTCCATAATTAAAAGATGAAAACAGTCAGGTATTTGGTTGTTTGTGGCTTGTTTTGCCAGGTACATACCAGATAACAGAATCCCTTCTCCATCACATTGGCAAGTTGGCGTCTGATGCCCATGTTAATATTCTGATCCAAAAAGAGGTTAGTTTTACACACTATTAATTTAAATAAATGCTGCACACTTAACCATAATAATTTACATCTGAAACATCTGTAGATTATGTACAAAGTTATGTTAACAAATCTTGAGCCCTTATTAGAAAAGTAATTAGAACTATATTAGCATCTGTAAACTATAACTATAAACTATAACTAGAACTATAAAAGCATGTGTCTTTTTTTTTTCCTCAATGTCAGGCGGTCAGGAAGCTGAATGTGGTACTTGGAAAGATCCCAGTAGAACTGAAGAAAGAGAAGAAGATCTTGTCATCCCAAGAGGCCTCAACTGTGATGTACGTTATATAAATATATATATATATATATATATATGTGTGTGTGTGTGTGTGTGTGTGTGTGTTTTAAATGTATGATTATTTTAAGGTCCCATTTTACATGTGTTACATCGTATTCTTTAAAACCTGTTTTCATTTCTTTACCTACAGGGATGATTTGGCTAGTCGAATACTCAAAGGAGGCGGTCAGTGAAAATGAGTTCATGATTATCTTATAATTGCAGTCTTTATTCAGATTTTAATTGTGGAAATTAAATAAGTATTTCTATAATACATGAGGAAAATTGCCACCAGAGAGCTTTAGGTAAGCCATGAATTAATTTTCCTCTTGCTTATTGGGTGTTTTAACATATGTGCCTGGTACTGTGTAGATTATGATCTCCAGGTGGCTTTAATGGAGGCTCTGTGTAGAATGAGTTCACGTGCCCAGCGGAGGGAGCTGGCCGACCACTGGTTCAGCATGGAGTTTGTTGCGACTGCATTTAGAAACATTCAGGATTCAGAGTTTGAGACTGTGAGTCTTTATATCACAGGCATAGTATTGTTTTTTTTGTAGCAGTGATTTAAATATAGTTTATATGAATTATCATTAATGAGTAATACAGTAAATATTCACATAGACGTAATGATTATATTCACCCAAAGATTTGCATAAAAATGGGTGCTTTGTTTTACTATAAATTAGAAAGAAAAAAGGAAATGACAGTTTTAATCATACTTTACCATGTTTTAATTATCACAATCATTTATCTAATTAATTAATTCTCTTAATCCTGAAAGGCTTATCAGTAAATTAATAAATCACATCAACTTAATTAATCAAGATAAACCAGAGGCAGTTAATTGATTAACTCAGTTAATGCTGCTCTTTTTTTATTTTATGTTTTTTTTGGCTTGATGAATTGCAGGATTGTCGGAAATTTTTAAATCTAGTAAATGGGATGCAAGGTGATGGACGAAGGTACGTTCGTTATGACCTCCGTAACATGTTTCTGTTTACTCTTCTGTGTTGTTTCCTTAATGGCGTTAGTAATACTGAAGGTTTGTCTTCTTACAGCGTGTATTCCTACCCTTGTCTGGAGGTGTTTCTGGACAAGTGTGCGGTCAGTCTTATTTAGTTTAAATGTTAAGACAATAAATTAATTATATGCGCATACCTCTAATAAATCTTTTTGCAGAGTATGTTAGTATAAAGGCAGCTTTGTGTCCATGAAAGTAATGGTGGTAATGCTTACAGCTGCTAATGCCTGTGGATGAGAACCTGAAGGAATTCTGGATTGATTTCAACCTCGGAAGCCAAAGCATCTCCTTCTACTTCTGTCTATCTGAGGATCAGGCCCAGGTACTTGTCGCTGCTGCTGACGTTCGTTATGCATTTTTACACCTGTGACATAACATGCTTTCTTGAGTTTCATGGCATTTTAGTTATCTCTCATATCTCACCAGGAGGGACAGTGGGACACCCTCTGCATCGCAGAAAATGAGATCCACAGTTACACAGTGGAAGGTATTCTGATAATAACACTTGAAGAAGACTAGTCAACCTCACAATCTTACTGCACATAGTTTAGTCAGATAAGATATGAATACGATAATGGATAAAACTGAGTAAGAGTTGGTTATTTAGCAACAAAAGGCAACCTGCCTGAACTGAAGTGCTTAAATGATATGGCCGAGTCCATTAGAGAGAGTGAATGGTAAAGTATACTGTTTCTGTGTCTGCCTACCTAGAGGAGAAAGATGTGAAGGTGCTGCAGCTGGTTCTGACTGAGCCAGTGTGTGTGAGCAATATTGAGGGCTCTAAACTCGCTATCCACTTCAGCTCCTCTTTAGACATTCTCCAGGCCACAAAGAAAGTCTACGGCGAGGCCAAGAATAAAGTGAGTTGGGGCAAATCCAGGGTTTCCTGTAATTCAGGGCTTTGATGGGGTGAGATACAGTCATATCGTATAAAACTCTTTTCATAGTACACACACAAGGCTTAACCAGCACAGTGAGTATATTGCTGTTGTTGGAACAAAACCTTGTATCTCCAAAAAAAGTAACTTTCCAGGAGAAGGAAAAAACGTACTTTACTTTTAATGTAAGTCAATGCAACCAGATTTTTTCCAAGTCATTCTGGGCCGTTTCTTTTCGTCCATTCATCATGAAATTCACACACAATGTGAAGGGCAACAGGCTTTTTCAAATTATGTCAAAAACTGAAAAACATCAAAAATGGAGATACAAGGTTTTTTAAATGTCTAGTTTTGTTGATGGTCTAATTATACATAATTGATAAGTAAAGTAAATAGGAAACTGCTGCATGTTGTTGTGTTGAAAATGGTCATGACAAATTTTGTAAACAATGTTTTATTGTTCTTTGTTGCAACACTTCAGAAGTTCGTTGGGAAGACCACCACATCTGTGGTTAAAACCACAGTTCAGATCATTCTGGATGAAGGATGCTCACAGGTAAGCAGCAAGAAGCGAAGATGACTCTATTAAAAGTGGAGATGATTCTGAATTGTTAAAATATTAAAACTGAACCTGGTATCTATTTATTCGTGAAGTCTATGTAATGTTCTGATGAAATATTCTGGACACACAAAGTTAAATAAAGTAAGACTACTACCATAACAATGAAGCCTCTTACCACATCTGGATTTCCTGTACAATTAGTAGACTTTCATGCAAGTATCAGGCCCCAATACTGATAGTGGTATTGATGCATCTGCTATAGTAAACCTAATTCTGTTCAAATAAAAACATATTTTTAATAATATTCACATAACAATGCAGTTAAAGTATATCGCAGTTGTCAGAAGAAAACCTTGTATCTCCATTTTTGATGTTTTGCAGTTTTCGACATAATTTGAAAATGCCTGTTGACCTTTACATTGTTTGTAAATTTCATGATGAATGGACTAAAAGAACTGACCCAAAATGACTTGGAAAAAAGTCTGGTTCCTTTGATTTACATTAAAAGTAAAGTAGATTTTTTCCTTCTCCTGTAAAGTTAGCATTTTGGAGATACGAGGTTTTCTTCCGACAGCAGCGATATGTTCACTGGTTTTGATGACTGTGGTAAATGTTGGGTTGGCGTCATGCGCAGGTTCTCTTTCCTGAGAGCCAGGCATCTTCTGAGCCCATGGAGAAAACAGTGCCTACATCAGTGAGGAACAGCACACCTTTTCAGCCTTTGCCTTATCATGAGAAAGATGCTCAACGTAAACAGCAAGTAATAATTTGTAATTGCTTTACATGCTGGAAGAACAATCGTAGTGATATAAAGTTTGTCATAGTTTATTTATTAGTTTCCTCACAGTGTGTTATTTATTTGTTTCTTTGTCTTAAAAATTCTCGTTGTTTTGTGAGGTACTAGATGAGTTCTAGCTTGACTAATGTAATCTTTACACAACTGAAGCCCCATTCGAGCAGGATTAGTTTTACCTGGGGAGGTGCTGTAATTTGAGTGATTACCATGATCCGTGATTTAAATCCAAAACACATCTGCCATGTCTGTGCTTTAATGTAGTTAAGTAATAGTAGTAATTCTGGAGCGAATTAACATCTATGATCCGCTGAACTCAGTAATATTATCATCATTTGGAAGTCTACTCCCTTGTCCAGTATTGTGTTTTGTGTTATTTATTTATTTATTTTTTTCATATTTAACATTTAGCTACACGGCTTGTTGTTCCTGTTACCAGACCTCTGGTAAAACTAATCCATCTTGAATAGGGCTTAAGTTAACATGTATTACAGTCTCTGAACTGAGTGATTGTAATTTTAGCATCTCTATTGTTTTAGCACTAAACTGTGTTATGATAGTTATTTATGTTGCATTAATGTACAGTTTTTGATTACGCTTGACTAGTTGTCATAACATTCTCATACTTACTACAGATAATAATTAACCTCTCGCTCCCTCCCTCTTTCTCTCTCAGACATTAACCCCTCTGAGGAGTAAGGTGTCTGAGTCATGTATGTATGTCTCTGGTAGTGCAGGGTGTAAGCTGGGAAGAAGCCCTTTCAGCTGTGTGATGCCTGCTAGTAGGTCAACTCAGACATCCTTTTGTCTTTTAAGACAAGCTTGTATTAGACTACACATCCATAAAGTATTACTAGGTTCCACCAGCTTTTTCTTGCACGTGTCCTCATTAATTCAACACTTGCAATACATGCTAATTTAACTTTCAGCATTTTTTGATTTGTCTTTCAAGCTCTCATTTTGTCTCCCATTAGCTACTCCAGTTGGGAAGACGAAGGTAAGGCCAGCTCTAGAGATGGTGGCCTCCTCAGGGAGGAAGAAAGACGCTGAGCTGAGAGATCTCCTGTTGGCTAGATCATTGCACAGGGTGCCATCATTTAGTGAGGAAAAGGAAAACATTAAAAAACAGGTCTGTTTTTAAGTTTATGCTAAATGCTAAAGGTTAAATGATGAGATTCTGAAAAGCTTTTTCATAGAAGATGTGGCCCCACTTTATTTGGATTGTCCCTTGTAGATTATCTATAGACAACCTATTAACAAATTATTTAGTGAAACTCAAGTGATTCCCAGTGTTAACAGAACAGGATTAGATTAAGGCCAGGTTGAGGTTTAGACCCAGGCTAGGAGTTTGTGTTAGGTTTTGGGTTGAAAGATTAGAGTTAGGGCCAGGTTTAGGATTAGGAAAAGAGGAGGTGAATTTAAAAGATAATCAGTTGTCTCTAAGTTAACTGCATGGTAAGTATCTACAAAGCATCTACAGTGGGCTGTCCAAATAAAGTGTTACAGAAAATTGTGTGTGTGTGTGTTTTACTATGCAATTTCTCCTCTACAGAGTGCAGATGTACCACAGGACAGGAAAGACCGTCAAGAAGCAGAGCGATATCGCAGAGTAAGTTACAGTAGGTTATTATTACTCTTGGCCAAATTTCTGCCTCTTGTGACCCGTGTCACCCGTGTGACTTTGAATTAATATCGTTTACTGTTTCTGCAGCACATTCCTGTAGACAAAGTACTGGAGATGGTGCATGCTGATCAAGAGCTTGAAGAACAGCCTTTAGGTATAGTTATATATCCATTAAATTAAATTAAAGTTTTATTTATTAATCAATTAATAAACCATTATGAGTTTGAATAATCAGTTAACCATGATAAAAGGATAAATGCAGTTATTAGTTTGTCAATAGTTAACATTAAATATTTGACTTTATACATAGTGTTAAATGTTTAATTAATATTTAATAATACTTAAAACAGTATTTTCATTTAACCATAAAATATCTTCCCTACCTTCTAAATCATATTTTAGAAAGAAAATTTTAATCAAGGAAATAGCAACAGATTCTCTGTGTGGCTCTTACAAATGCTGTTTTAATCATTGTGAAAGGTGAAGAATAATGTACAAGCAAGGCTGGAAGAATTACTTTCTGTGTGGTCTTTAACACTGTAATCAAATCTGATATTAATAACCACACAAAAACACCCCAGTTGTAATGTCAGACGCTTCTTTGTGTTGAGTCCTGAAGCATGTTCAGCAACGTAAAACAGCACTGACCATGCATGAGGCTAGTGCATTCAAAAAGATAAGTTATGTTTTACCTGTTTACACAGAAGAGGTTTTAAAAGTTCCCATTATTGAGAATATTTTTCTAAAAAGCTCAATTTTCAGTGACCTAAAAAGGAAAAAAAAATTTCAAAGCATAACCCTAGAGCTGGAAATGAAGTAGCACAATTTAACCGCATAGTTTAAACAAACCAGAGCTAGCTGCTAAGCATACGATGCACTGCAGTCTCAGTTGTCTGCAATTTCTTTCAAGTGATGTATTGTTAAAAGGGAAGCGTAAGAGTCGTCAAGCCACATAATTGATAACAAGATTTGTTTTTCTCTTCATAATTTTCATTTATTATTGATGTTACCAATTCCATCTATTTGTTGCTGCTGTGCTAGTCACATCTAATAACATGTTGAACAGTTTAAACTTTTTTTCTTCGTCCTGTAAAAGACAGCAGTATAGTTCCAGACTCCCAGCCTGCTGTCAGAAAAGAAACATCCATGTAAGTGTGACTCATTCATATTTTGCCTATACTTGGATTTTGGAAAGAATTGGATACAATCACACAAACAACTTTATGGACGGAAAAATACTTCTATTCTGTAAAAACTGCAGAGAGAACATCTTGTAATGCTAATATTTGTATAAGCATAAATTACTGCTAATGACGTAAATTATATTAATTTTCCACAAATCTGTGTGCATTTCAGGAATAAAAAATTTAATTAGCTCTGTCAGGTTTTACCCGTGTTTCATTTACACCGATCAGGCATAACATTATGACCTTGTTTCTACGCTCATTGTCCATTTTGTCAGCTCCACTTACTATATAGGTGCACTTTGTAGTTCTACAGTTACAGACTGTAGTCCATCTGTTTCTCTGATACTTTGTTAGCCCCCTTTTACCCTGTTCTTCAGTAGTCAGGACCCCCATGGACCCTCACAGAGCAGGTCCTATCTGGGTGGCAGATCACTCTCAGCACTGCAGTGACACTGACGTGGTGGTGGTGGTGGTGTGTTAGTGTGTGTTGTGCTGGTACGAGTGGATCAGACAAAGCAGTGCTGCTGGAGTGTCCACTGTGTCTTCTCACTGTCCACTCTATTAGACACTCCGACCTTGTCAGTCCACCTTGTAGATGTAAAGTCAGAGACGATAGCTCATCTGCTGCTGCACAGTTTGTGTTGGTCATCCTCTAGTCCTTCATCAGTGGTCACAGGACGCTGCCCACAGGATAGATATTTGTTGGCTGGATATTTTTGGTTGGTGGACTATTCTCAGTCCAGCAGTGACACTGAGGTGTTTAAAAACTCCAGCAGCACTGCTGTGTCTGATCCACTCGTACCAGCGCAACACACACTAACACGCCACCACCACGTCAGCGTTACTGCAGTGCTGAGAATGATCCACCACCCTAATAGGACCTGCTCTGTGAGGGTCCATGGGGGGTCCTGACCACTGAAGAACAGGGTAAAGGGGGCTAACAAAGTATCAGAGAAACAGATGGACTACAGTCTGTAACTGTAGAACTACAAAGTGCACCTATATAGTAAGTGGAGCTGATAAAATGGACAGTGAGCATAGAAACAAGGAGGTGGTCATAATGTTATGCCTGATCGGTGTACATCTGTGCTCTATGTTGCTGTTGGATTCCTTGATTTTGAATTTGAATTTTATGTGTTACTCTACTGTCAGATTACCAGGTCTCAACCATTTTGCCAAAAACAAGAGAATTTCTGTATCTAGATCACTGTTGCCCTGTCAAAAGGAATTACCACAGTCCAAGTCAGGTGGGTCCTTTCTGTTGTAGAAACTCTGTCACTGGCATTGGGTAATTTATGGTATAAGTACCCAATGAAGTAAGTGATTTGATATCATTTTGTGGTTTGAAGTCAGTTCCTTCCAGTTCAACTGCATCTCTAGTAGCTTATGATCGATGCATGTCCTTTTGAACCATGTAATATACATCCAGTATGTCTTTTTGCTTAATTTTTCTCAGCTTCAGTGCTTATTGCTCCAGCACCTCTCAGCACTGAGCTGCCACTGCAACCGTCCTCAGCCCAACACAGTTCTGGGGTCCTCACCCACAAGGAGCTGCATGCTCAGCTCACTCAGAGACTGGAGCAGGTGCTGAGGGAACAGGAGCAGCAGGGGGAGCCCTCTGCCACAGTTCAGAAGAGAAAATCCTCAGTGGGGCATGCCATGTTAGAGCCTGGGGGTCCCGAGAAGGGGACTGGGCCTGTGACAGAGTCTCAGAGGCCCACACCAGCTAAACCCGCTCCCAGTAGGCAGGCAACGAGCAATGTGGATGACAGAAATGTGGTGAGAGCCACCTAGGAAAGTCATTATGTGGATTTAAAGACATACACGATTTTATGTATATTGTAGGGTGTTTTGGAAATGTTTTTCTTGTTAGTTTTGGGGTGGTTGTTCTACAGCATTTCTTCTCTGGATTGGCTTATTGTAATGCGGGGCTAGCCCGCTTGCTGTGTGTTTGTTTTGGGGACAGGGAGAACCTATGGGGGGGGGCGGTGGAGAGCTGAGGCTGAGAGAGGAGATGTAAGTTTTGTATTGAAAGCAAACTGTTAGTAAAAGTTCGCTTGTGTACGGCGTGGCTGGGACCAATGTCAGCCTGTTAGTGAAGCATAACAGTTTGTGTAGAAGCTGAGTCTTCTTCCATAGTAGTAAATGTTACAGTATATACTGATTATATCGCTGCTGTCAGAACAAAACCTCATATCTCCATTTTTCATTTTTTGACATAATTTGAAATGCCTGTTTTCCTTGTAAATTTCATGATGAACAGACAAACAGAAACGGTTCAAAATTACTTGGAAAAAAGTCTGGTTTCATTGACTTACATTAAAAGTAAAGTATGGTTTTCCTTCTCCTGTTAAGTTACCATTTTGGAGATATGCAGTTTTGTTCCGACAACAGTGATGTACTGATTATATATTGATAAAATATTGATTTCATGAGTCAAATTATTGTTTACCTTCAAAAGAAAGATTTAAAATTTGGTAATTGATGACATATTTTCAGAAGAAAAAATATAGAATGTATTACAAGGCTGAGCCAGCAAAATAGATGTGTCTGTGTGCCTATCTGTAACAATAGTAGTAATACAGAATAAACAAAAACTGCCAGTGATATTTATTCTTTATTTTCTTTAGAAGACAGCAAAAGCTGCAGACAGCATGGTGAAGCAGATATCTAGCCGCTATAAGAGCACTGACTTTATTAAAGCAGCACCAGAGATGGCCTCTCAGTTTAACATTGCACCGACTAACAGGTAACTTGGGCATACCGTGATGAGTTTTTCTTTTGCCAAATATTGTTTTTTTATTTGTGTTGTTTTTTTTTGTCCAGATACCTTTTCAACAGGAGTTGGTATGCAGCGTCGGCTGTAAGTAATCAGTTTTGTCAAAGTTACATTGCTTTGTTTTGATGAACAACATGAACCAAACAACTAAACCAGGCTTTGCCTGTTTATTTTATGTCTTTGTCATAATTATTGTTATTGTGAATTTGTGTATTTGTTCTTTTAGGCAAAGCTAGCTGATAAGTCTGAATTTCTGAAGTCATGCAGTCAATCCAAGAAATCACCAAATCAGCATGAGTACTGAATTTTAACACTACACCTTTAAACTAGCATTCAAAACAGTGCAAAAGTACAGAATTTGGAATGTTTGTGGGGTTTGTTCTCTGTTTATGTGTATATACGACTGTTATCTTCTTAATGTGTGGTGATTTTCAACAGGGATGTTTTTGAGTTCAGTGCGGACGTACCAGAACTCAGTGGGGTAAGGGCACAGTTTTCCTACAAACATCATCTGCCATTGATTTTGTGATATGCATGTCCTGACGCAGTCTTTGTCATTCCAGAAGAAATATAGGAAGTCTTCTGAGATGCCCAGAATTGAAAGCAGGTAATGTCCTTTGTACTGTAACCATTCCAATCTTTTGAACTGTTGTGGACCTGGAAAGCTTGTCTAGCACAGTTTAGCGTTTAGCAGGGAAATCACCAGACTGAATAACCCTGCACTGGTATATGTATGTATATATTTAAGCAATAGAATGCGAGAGGGAGTGTGTTATTGCAAAATAACATCACGGCTGTGATTTGTTTGCTGTGATGTCATTCGCGATAACACACAACCTTGAGTGTTCTATTGCTTTTATACAAAAGTTAAATAAATAAAGTAAGAAATTAATAAATTGAATGAACATGGCATTTAATGTTTTAATGTTAGCAGTTGCTTCTGCCAAATTATAGTTGCTTAACAAGCAGCTCGTTGCTACGTCAGATTAACAAACTCCAGCCGGCAGTTCGTTCTCCAGCTCCACACAGACCAATTGACAGTTTCGGAATTTAGTGTAGTCTCATCTTCAGTCTGACCAAATTGGCTGTCGGTCAAATGTGATCTTAAAGGTGTCCATTTTCTGTTTGTGGCAAAGTAAGAAGTAAAAACGTTCAAATGGCTTGAGCGTCTCCTACAGCTGTCAAAGTCATTTCTTAGCAACGGCGTCTCAGCGGAGTGATACAGTGTTTGAAAAACCTGTGATACAGTTAGAACGCTTCTCAACCAATCAGCTTGCGTGGCCGGAACTAACTTTTGTATAAATATATATATATTTCCTTTTATCTTTCAGTGTCGTCAGCAATTCCCCGACTCTTTCCAACTCTGCTAAGAAGTGCCCTCCCGCAAAGGTCAGACTCTCATTCTAACCATTTACTAGGTGTTTTTCATTAAACTACTAATACTGTAATATTGTTTTGTTATAAACCAGTAATAAATGTTTTATGGTGCTTACAATTAGACTTCTTGGAAATTTAGAGATCTTTGTCTGTATGTTTGTTAGAACTATAGATATTATAAAAACTATAGATATTATATTTTTATTGGGTTGTAGTACCAAGACTGACCAAGACAATGTAAAAAATGTCAGGCTGTCGAAATTGTTAATTTGATTATATTTGATTAGTGAGGTATCTGACTCCTTCACCTTCTCATGCTCTATAGAACAACTTCATCACTGATGTTGTTTAGATTTTTCTCACTACTACTGCTTGTATGCTTGTCATCTTTACCTCTTTTGTGAGCATTATGTTTGAACCACACAATTCTTACATCCTTATTATGTTTATAATAATGGATTTTTGCACTGAAATTAAAAAGTAGTTCTGTGTGTGTGTGTGCGTGCGCGCATGTGTGTATGTAGCCTACTGGTCGTAATGTGAAGAAGCACCTCTTCAGTGACACTGATACAGAGAATATGACAGATGTTAGCTGGCTAAAATCAGCAAACAGGAGGCCCAAGCCTAAAGTGGCAGACTATACCCGGCAGCCAGTTAAGCCAAGTCTTCCACCTGCAGACACCACATGTACGCTTTTCACACCTCTTGCCTATTCTTGTCTGTGCCAAAACAAAAGTCTGTGAAATAGGTTTGTTTCCACAGATAATGTAGCTGTTTATTTGATGTAACAGTATCTGCAATGTGCATGTACTTCCAGTTACTTTCCATAGTATAATTTATCTAGAAATCCACTGAGAGAACATTTGACAATACACACATTTCATTGTGATTTTTTTACTTATTTTGATTTGGTTATTCATTTTCTTACAAATGGCATAGCTAAGGGAAGGGTTTAAATGTGTGGGTAGAGTGTAAGACAGGTTTACGGTCAGTCTTTGGTGTCCCTTGTCTTGAAAAAATATTTAAATACCAAAAAACCTGACATTTTTAAATATTCTGTTTCTTGCTTGAACCTCCTTAAAAAGGCAGTTGCTGCCTATGTAAGCCATTACCATCTCATAGTGATGTTATTATGTTTGCTTTTTCATAATGTTATTATCACTGTGTTTCTCATAGCAGTGTTATGTTTGCTTTCTTTCTTTTACATTACATCTGACTGTTTCCTCAGTATTGCCTGATCTTCCAACTGACAAGAAAGCTGTAAATACAATTCTTTCTTCGTCTTTTAGTTGAGACTCCGAACATACCTGTGCCTTCAACAAAGGCTGCTAAAGTGCTGCCCAAACCAAAGAGGGTAAGGCCAAGTGAAGAGCCATTGCTGAATAACAGAGATGGCACTCATGGTTTGTGCTCATAGTTTTGGTTCAGTGCCTTGTGTGCCACGTTTTTCTGTATTGTGATCATGTCTGTGTAACTTATTGTTTGTCTCATTGTCAGAAGAGACAGAAGAAGGTGGTGGAACAGAAGAATAAGACAAACCAGGACGTTGCCAGCAGGAAGCCCACAGGCAGACCCCAAAGAACTGCAGCTCAGACCAGATCCTACAGAGAGCCATCAGACTCTGGGAGTGAGTCTGAGACTGATGAACCACCTCCAGCCAAGGCATGGTTCTTTTATCTGTCTGTAAACAGTCTGAAATAGATTTTATGCTTCTTTTTTTTACTGAAGTGTCTTTTTTTTTGCTTATCCCACTTTGAACAGAAGTTGATCATTAAACAGACAGAGAAGCCTCTGAGGAGAGATGTTCAGGCAGGAGGACAAGCAGAGAATAAAGATAAGACTTCATCTAAAGCTGCACTTGAACAAACTGTAAGAGAAAACAATCAAGCAAAGTCAAAGGCTAGTCAAAAGGTTATGCAAGAGAAAACTGAGAGAGGGCTGCCTAGTCCTGAGCAGTACAAGAAAAAGAAGAAGCCACCGACTTCCATGGAATCCACTAAAAGACAAAAAGAATCTTGGGCCTCCAAAATTGCTTCTTTCTGCACTTCCCCTCCTTCCACCAATAAAATGAGATGTAAGAATTTTCCTGCTGTTAAAAAATGTCCAAAACACTTTCTTTGCATACTTTGTTAGCCCCCTTTTACCCTGGTCTTCAATGGTCAGGAGCACCACAGAACCGGTACTGTTTGGGTGGTGGATCATTCTCAGCCCTGCAGTAACACTGACAGTGGTTCTGTATTGGTGTGTGTTGTGCTGGTATACGAGTAAATCAGACACAGCAGTGTTGTGGGAGTTATTAAACACTGTGTCCACTCACTGTCCTCTCTGTTAGACACATCTACCTTGTTGGTCCACCTTGCAGATGTACAGTCAGAGACAATATCTCGCCTGTTGCGGCACAGTTTGTGTTAGTCCGTAGTCCTTCATCAGTGGTCACAGGACGCTGCCCACAGGACGCTGTTGGTTAGATATTTTTCTCTGACTATTCTCAGTCCAGCAGTGAAACTGAAGTGTTTAAAAACTCTGATCCACTCAGACCAGCGCAACACACACTGACACGCCCCCACCACGTCAGTGTTACGGCAGTGCTGAGAATGATCCACCAAATAATTCCTTCTCTGTGGTGGCTCTGTGGGGGTCCTGACCACTGAAGAACATGGGAAAAGGAGGTACACAAAATGCAGAGAAATGGACTAGAATCTGTAATTATAGAACTATGCAGTACATGGTAAGTGGAGCTGATAAAATGGACAATGAGTGTAGATACAAGGAGGTGTACTTAGTGTAGTGGCCAGTCAGTGTATCTTAGGGATCCAGTCTAGGAATTGTGGGCGAATACTGATAATTTCCAATATTTTTCATGTACATATCTGTTAATGCCAATACATACACTTATGGCACTAGATCCACCTGATGTCAATAACCTTTTTAAGCTAATATTTGCTGATACGAATATGATTCTGATGTCGTTATGGATTCTTAATATATATATTTGTATGTATGTGTGTGTCTGCCCTTAGCTGGAGAAGAGAGTGCAGTCTTGCCCAGATCTCCCCTCACACCCCCGGATCCTCTATTGAGTGTAGTGTATTTTGCCTTTATACCAAAATGTGATTATTACATAATAAAGATGTTGGTCTATGTCATTTTCAGTTGATGATTTTTCTCAAATTTGCTTAACAGAAGTTGGTTGTCAGACAGCCAGAGAACACACAGAAGAAAGCTTCAGTTCAGGCCACAAGACAAGCAGAAAAGAAGGAAAAGGTGCTTTCTGATGTGATGGACCAACCTGACAAACAGAAGAAACAACAAAGAGAAACCATCATGCACTCAGACGCAGACCATAAATTGATGCAGAAGAAAGTTGGGAAATTATCAAGTCATGAGCAGTCAAAGAGCAAGAAGACTCCAGCTCCTCAGGAATCAGCAAAAGAAGATAGAGAATCTTGGGTTACCAAACTCGCCTCTCTATGCCCTTCCCCTTTCTCTGTTGAGAAGATGAGATGTAAGAAATTATCTGCTATGAAAATCTAATCAATCTATCTAGATTCGGTCCTAGTATTACATTCTTAAAAACTGTCACTGATGCTCTTCCTTTTAGCTGCAGAGAGGAGTGCAGCTTTAACGAGATCTCCTATTACACCTCTCCGGCTTCCTTCATTCTCTCCTGTTGCTGCTGTCTCTCCCCCCTTGGAACCGCCTGACCATCTCCAAGGAATCCAAGCTTCGTCCTTCTATAGGACTTCAGTAGGACAGAACAGCGTCAACCTTCCCCTTCCCCCTCCTGTAACCCCTAATGCTAAGAAGCAAAATGCTCCAGGGGTACGTCTGGTAAGAAAAACATAGAAGCGCGAAGTTAATCGAATTAGAAGTGAAATCTTTAGGCCACCAAGTATTCACGAAGTCAGCAGAGTTAGCTTGTGTATTGGGTCGTTTTTTAACATTTAACAGTCAAGTATAGAAATGGATTGTTATGAGTTTACTAACTGTACAGGAGTCTGAACCTGCAAATTGTTCTCTCCCTTGTCCCGCTGAGCTGCTTCAGGATGCTGAACTGAGTCCGATGCCCTCCATGGCCCAGCCCCTCATTGCCTCCACAGGTAGGGAGACGCTTGCCCGCTCTTCACTGCTCAATTCTCCAGACTTAGAGGAGGATCTTAGGGGCTTTTTGAATGATGCCAGCCACAGAGGCCTGCATGCATCCTTCGACAAGGAATCTGTAATCTCCTTGGTGACATTGAGCCAGTCTTCACACAGATCTGTGAACAACATAGCTATGATCTGCACCAACCTAGAGGTAGAAGTTTTCACCTTGTGGCAGTCTTGGGTGTCTATCAGATTATACTCAGGCATGATTAAATGGTCTGTCTAACCCTTCATTTCCTTTTTTTTATTTAAAGAAAACACCTGAATGTACCCTAGGAATTAAGACTGAAAAGGCAGAATTTCTGTCAGGTAACAACATAATTACTAACTAATTTATATTTCATGTTGATGAATGTTGATGTTGATACCTAACACACTTTTTCATCAGGTCCAGCATCCCATCGGAAACGGCACAGCTCATGCAAGTCTGCTAGTTTGTCAGAGATAGAGGACAGTGAAGAGGAGGAAGAGGGGGAAGCTAAGGTTGTGCCCAGTGAACTAGCCATCAAAATGAGGCCAAGAAAGCTGTTCAAGCCTAATGACAAGCCATGGCATAAGAAAAAAGGTTAAAATTTTTATGTACCCTAAATTGTCACATCTAAATTACATCTCACATGGTTAAAGATGTGTGTCACAGAGTTATCCCTAAGGAATTTTTTTTGATTCAGGAGTTGGTAGGGTGTGTATGCTTTAAAGTCATATACATAAACACAGTTAATGAGATATACAGGGTGATTCAAAAAGATTTATCCGATTTCAAAATAATTTATTTCACTTGTAAATCATTACAGAGCAATGCCATAAATTGTAAGTGGTTATGTGAGCGTAATGTAATTTTACAAGTGCTCCATATGAACCTCCTCCAACTGTACGGACAACATCAACGTCATATTATGTTATGACGGATTCACTCTTATTCAAGTGGAGAACGCGAAATGCTTTCTGCTCAGGGGTCGCCATCTCCTCTCAGACTGAAGGGAGCCATCTTCCGGGTGACAGTCAGAAACTGTATGACCCCCTCTTTCAACTGGTATGAGATTGGTTTCCAGGCATCTCACGGTTGTAAAAATATGGCGCTTTGAAATCAGATTAATCTTTTTGAATTAACCTGTATTTCACAAGACTTTCAATAATTGAGGCACTGTGTGATCTCTCTAGCTGCTTAGTACTTAATGAGGGTTTGCAGGGATGCCCATCTCTTGTCATGGTGATGTACCACCCTGGAAAGGGTTAGTTCCAGAACACTTCGCTGCATTGATAATATAATCCTGAAGGTCTTGATTCATTGGATCGGATGTGTTAGATCAGATCTGGAACTAAATTCTGCGGGGCAGTGCATCTCCAGTTAGGCACTCCTGGTTAAAAAAAAATATAAATAATGAGAGGATAAAAAAACACAGTTTGAATTTTCCCATTGCAACAGGCTCTAAACAACCCAAGGAAGATCAGAGCAGCTCTGAGGAGGAGGAGAAAAATGAATCGGAGATAAGGAGAAGACCCACAGGTGTAACCAAGAAAAGCTCCCACACCCCCCAAAGTAGAAGTCCTAGTGCAACAGGTAGTCCTAACTGCTGAATTACGTTGCAGCATAAATTTGACTTTGGTCTTCACCAATTATGCATTATGCAAGTAAGGAGTTGTGAAGTGTGTGTCTATGTGTGTATGTGCATTTTAGTAGTTGAAGATGTGGAGATGTGCTCCACAGTGTTGTCTAATGTGGTGTCAAGCTGTTGGGAAGCAGGTGTGGAGGCAGATATAGATCTGCCACGGTCTGAAATCAGCACCTCACAGGAGATGGGCTTTGTCTGCCGCCAGTTCAGCACTGAACTCAAAAGGAAGTTTGAGGTAAGGCAAGACTGAAGTATTAGTGGACAATGGAATCTGAACTGATTAATACTGTATGGTTTCCCTCCAGTATTGCAGTGCTCTTCTCTACAATACAGGGGCCTTAGAAGCCTGTAATATACACCGATCAGGCATAACATTATGACCACCTCCTTGTTTCTGTGCTCATTGTCCATTTTATCACCTCCACTTTCTATATAGGTGCACTTTGTAGTTCTACAGTTACAGACTGTAGTCCATCTGTTTCTCTGCATACTTTGTTAGCCCCCTTTTACCCTGTTCTTCAGTGGTCAGGACCCCCATGGACCCCCCTGTGGTGGATCATTCTCCCCTTGTCAGTCCACCTTGTAGATGTAAAGTCAGAGACGATAGCTCATCTGCTGCTGCACAGTTTGTGTTGTTCATCCTCTAGTCCTTCATCAGTGGTCACAGGAGACTGCCCACAGGACGCTGTTGGCTGGATATTTTTGGTTGGTGGACTATTCTCAGTCCAGCAGTAACACTGAGGTGTTTAAAAACTCCAGCAGCACTGCTGTGTCTGATCCACTCGTACCAGCACAACACACAGTAACACACCACCACCACGTCACTGCTGAGAGTGACCCGCCACCCAAATAGTACCTGCTCTGTGAGGGTCCATGGGGTCCTGATCGGTGTAGTGGCTTCCATTTAGGACATGTTGGAAAGTATATTGTAACCCTGTCACTTGCAAAAGTCAAGTGTTCATTTTGGTATATCAGAGCAAATATTGCATTTACAAACTGTATCTTAATTATTCACACTAAGAATATTAAATGATGCACTGTAAACTGCTTTCTCATTATAAGGAATTAATTAATTGAATCTTAACTGTGCCTTTTGATGTTTCATTTCTGTTCAGTCCTTGATGGTAAATTCTGATGTGATACTGTGATGACTTTTAATCCCTGTCTTTAGCGGAACATCATTTTAGGTTGATAATAACCATTTTCACCCATAGAAAGTGCCTGCTGCCTGACCCGTAGCTAATTATGGCGGTAATTACAATATGCAGTAATGGTGTGTTGCATGTGTGGTTGTCTCTCAGAACCGCTCCAGGAGAATGGATCTCTTCACAAAGCAGTCCCTAAAGGCCTTTAAGCAACATGTGTCCTCCATCAGCATGCAAGTGCATAAGTACAGGTCAGACTGAAAAACATCTGTTACGTCAAGAGCAAAACATCAACCTTACCCTCTGTGGCTGAGCTACTCACACATACACACGCTTGTTCTATCTATCTGTCTCTCTCTCTCTCTCTCTCTCCAGGGTGTCTACAGGTCCTTAAAAAGCCTTAATGTCTGAAAAGTATTAATGTTATTATTTTATTGTTTTTTTATGTTACCTGTGGTGGACAGATGTCACAGCGCTGTAGGCTTTCATAGTCCTGCGCCAACGACAAAACGTTGGAATAGAACATCATCTGCAGTTTCTATGAAAACCTGTATGACAGAACAGCTACTGAAACAGCAGTGAAACCACACAAAACAGTCTGAAAATAGCTGCTGCAGTGAGGCTGCAACCAAAAATACTACTTGTTTTCACACATGTATGTTTCACTCTGGAGATTAAGGTTTTTGCAGTTGTGGAAAAAGATTTGAAAATGAAAACAAATCATCACTTAAATGTATATTGACCCTAGTTCTGAATAGCTGGCAACCTGTTCTGTTTCTGAAAGCAGCGAAGCAGCAAGAAAGTAAACACAGTCGCACACCATGACCACGGCAACAGTCCAGAATGCAGAACTTTGAGTTCCTGTCCAATCAGAGTGCACGACAAAAATTTTGATGTACACGACAAGGTCTGCAACACCCTAGCAGACACAAATTTAGTCTTTTACATCATTTTTTTGTCGAGCGACGCTTGTCCACTGAACTATAAATTGGCCTTTACGCACTCACTGGAAAATACAGGTTGCTTGCACGATAGAGAAATGTGCATTAAACACTGCATTATACTAACTTGCGTTAAATAATGTTTGATACATTGTCACAGATCAGGATGTAACAGTACTCACGTTTTCAGGCTTAACACCACTTTGGATTCTTAGCTCAAGATTCGTTTTGATTTTTGATTTTTGATTTTTGATATTTTATGTTAAAAATATCTTGATTCTACAAAAGTCATTAAATAGAAATTGTATTTAAAATGTGCAAAATAGCATGTTTTTGTGAAGAATAGTGATCTAATCCAACAGTGCAGCTGAGCCAGATGCCTAGTTTTGGTCACTGACAGACAGCAAATGAGAGATGCTTGTATGGAGTCAAAAAAAGGGTCAAAAAGATTTTGAGCTTGTAAAACGATATTCACAAATGTACTGAAATTTGCAGTTGTGTTTGAGCAGCTACATACACGTAAAATCCAGATTCACATATAATTTGGAATCTGCAAATATGTAACTGAAATAATAATAATAATAATGCATTTATAAATGCATAAAAATATTTATAGAAATGATTTTTGAATGTGTAAAAAAAGATTGTCATTTGTAAATGAAATGTTGTGAATGTGTGAATCAGCACTCCTCAAATGATTTACATTGTGCCCGACCATAAAATCACAAGAAAAGTTTGAAGTTCCAAGTATGACGGCGGGGGTTTTTCAGTGTGACGGTACAAATCCACGAACACGTCTCCGTTTCTGTTTGTGTGAACGTCTTTTTAGAACTAAGGATTTTTGACCCTGTTTTGACGGCAAATTGATGGACCAATAAGAAAGCTTGAACTGGTCCAATCAGCGAGTTTGACGTATCCAATCACAACCCTGACAGGTTGCTGTCAGTCAAAGCTTTGGTAAGCTGTTGATACCCGCCTCTAATGCCGCTTCGACCGAGGGCATATGTGGACATACCAGTATCTGATTTTAGCAGTATGTGTACATGTTAGGTAATAGAACAAAAACTATGGACATTTGACTTTGCAGTCTGGTCCCACAGTGAGGCCACTTTAATGTTCTTTAATGTTCCCGCCTTCGTGCCTCTCATGGCCATCATCGTCGTCCTCCTCTCTCTGGCAGCTGACGTCCTCCTCCTCCCGCTGTCATGCGTGTCCCACAGCGGTGTTCAGGATTTGCGTGCCGTCCCCCATTCACTCGCGGTTCTCCTCTCCCCGCCGTCCTTGCTCTGAGTTCGGGCCCCACCTTCCTGCCGGCTCTCGCGGCCATCACCAGGGCCCAGGGGATGGCTGCATGACAATATTATTATATTAACATAGCTGACTGCAAAATCCAACAGTGCAGTCGACCCAGATGCCTAATTTTGGTCATTGACAGACAGCAAACGAGAGATGCTAGGACAAGAGTGGGGGGCGTATTGGTGATAAAGTTTTACATTTCTGTTTACCAGTATTTCAGTATTCTGTTGGTTTCCCCTACTCACTACAAGTTTGGTCTTGCCTGCCAACATCTTTCTTCTCTCTCATCTTTAATACAGGTCAGACAGTGCAAATAATATCGAGATGTACATGCCGGTGCTGATGTTTCAAAAGCAAATATGTGGTTCCCAGCTAACATAGCCACAGTCTCTTTTAAACCAGCTAAGAAGCTGTAAACTTAAAACAAGCTCTGGTCATTTGTTTTTATTTCATGTAGGTCTCAGAGTCTGGAGAAGGTTAAAGGAGTTCTGATGGATGAAATTAAAAACTTGGAGCAAGATGACACTGCTCTTCGCACCATGGAGGAGGAGCTGGCCGTACATGACCACTCTTGTTTATAAAATATGTTTCAATGCATAAAAAAATAGATAAGTGCAAATAAGTGCAACAAGTCAAGTGAATTTTATGATTAACTCCGTGGTCAATTGTTTATTTTTTCAGCTACATACATCGATCAGGCATAACATTATGACCACTTCCTTGTTTCTACGCTCATTGTCCATTTTATCAGCTCCACTTACTATATAGGTGCACTTTGTAGTTCTACAATTACAGACTGTAGTCCATCTGTTTCTCTGCATACTTTGTTAGCCCCCTTTTACCCTGTTCTTCAGTGGTCAGGACCCCCATGGACCCTCACAGAGCAGGTACTATTTGGGTGGTGGATCATTCTCAGCACTGCAGTAACGCTGACATGGTGGTGGTGGTGCGTTAGTGTGTGTTGTGCTGGTACGAGTGGATCAAACAAAGCAGTGTTGCGGGAGTTTTTAAACACTTTGTCCACTCACTGTCCACTCTATTAGACACTCCTACCTTGTCAGTCTACCTTGTAGATGTAAAGTCAGAGACGACTGCTCAACAGTTTGTGTTGGTCATCCTCTAGTCCTTCATCAGTGGTCACAAGATGTGGCCCACAGGACGCTGTAGGCCAGATATTTTTGGTTGGTTGACTATTCTCAGTCCAGCAGCGACACTGAGGTGTTTAAAAACTCCAGCAGCACTGCTGTGTCTGATCCACTCAGACCAGCACAACACACACTAATACACCACCACCATGTCAGCGTTACTGCAGTGCTGAGAATGATCCACCACCCAAATAGTACCTGCTCTGTGAGGGTCCATGGGGGTCCTGACCACTGAAGAACAGGGTAAAAGGGGGCTAACAAAGTATGCAGAGAAACAGATGGACTACAGTCTGTAACTGTAGAACTACAAAGTGCACCTATATAGTAAGTGGAGCTGATAAAATGGACAATGAGCGTAGAAACAAGGAGGTGCTCATAATGTTATGCCTGATCGGTGTATATGTATATAGATGTCTGATATATTTGTCTTTGACTTTATTAGAGCTACTGGAAGAAGCAAGTCCTGGCCTTCCATGCCTACCAGGAGAGGGGAACCCGAAGGTAAGCGTGTATTCATTTTGTATTGCTGGATCCTCTTTAAATTATGCCAAGTTTTGTTTTTTGCGGTTAGATGGGGACACACTTGCATTCTCAAGTGAGTGATAATCCTTAGAGACATTGTAGATAAAAAGAATTAGATTTTCTGTTACATAATCATGTCTACATAACCTTGTGTGAAAAGAGATTCTGAAGGTCTGTGACATAACAACAAATATGTTGTTCCCAGCTAACACAGACACAGCCTCTTTGAAAACAGCTATGATGTTCTAACCTTAAAACAAGACTTAAAATAAGTTTTTATTTGATGCTGTTGTCACTGGTATCATGGGACAAAATTGTACACAAAGCCTTCTTGAAAACAGCATTCCTGAAAGTGGCAGTCAAGTGCTAGTGCAGCTGAAAGACACCAGTGGAGGCTTTCAAAGAACAAGACTGCTATTAGTCTTCTCTCACTAAAACATAGAGTATACAATACAGTATACACTTTTACAGGGCTCTCGATCAGCAAACTCAGAGTAGAGCAGTCATAGTTCAGAGCTTTAGCAAAGCTCAATGTTAACCTGAAGGACAAAAAATCCTGTTTCCAAACTGTCAGATATTTTGTGATTCATTATTTGATTTTGGGATGTTACAAAATGTTTAAACTTTCCATGTACTGTGTGTCTCATTAACTTCCACATATTGTTTTTCTTTTCAGATTACACAACTTAAAAAGTGCCATTGAGACTAATGTGCTTCATAGCTTGGAGTTTGAGGAGCAGATCTTCTCCTCACAGGTGAGAGCTTAAACTGTTACTGAAGTGGGCTTTGCATATTAGTCCTTTTTAGCATGATCCATAAAGGAATTTAAAAATAAGATTTATGTTTGGCTCAATGTCATTTCAGATGTGTTTGATGAAGAAAGACATAAAGTCTGTTCAGGACCGCTTATTCAAACAGATGGTGAGTAGACGGCATGCTTCAGGGTATCTGTTAGGCAGGAAAGCGACGCTACTCTACTGTTGCCACAAGAGTTTTTACGACATGATTTGGGGGGGTCAAGGAGTGAAATGAGTCACCAAATATACTTTAGCATCTGAAACGTGGAGTTATATATACCCTGTTTGAGTGGAGCAACCGGCGATCTGTTCTCCTGTGACCAAGTGTGAGTTACTAGATCAGTGGCGTAACTGTACTGTCCTACAGTGAACTCCTTCCCTACATCCTGACAAGCTTCAGCAGCGTTAAATCACGCCTGATACTCACAACTACAGCACTGTTACAGCGCTCAGTCATATTTTAGTATTAGCGCATTCCCAAACAATAAAAGTGAAAGAAAGAAGTGGGTTCATGCAAATTACAATTAAACTGAGGATGCTGTATGTGAGGCATTGGAGAGTGAGAGAACGCTATTTTTCCAGGCTAGATGTTTTAGCAGCTGCCTAACTTGAAGCAGTGCTGTTGTTGTGTCACTCACACAACACTGCGAATTGATGTTACTGTAGATCAAACAAGACAAAAAAGCAGTTTAAATGTACCTAAAAGGAGGACTCTGTTTGTCTGGTGTGAGAGAATCACACTGCAGTTAATGCTTTTACACAGCGAGCGTCAGATATACTGCGGTTCAGCCCTCAAACTACTACGATAGAATATAGAAACCCAGACGTCTCCTAGCTGTTGTTTGAATACTGTGCTGTTCTCTCACATGGATGTGGTAGGAGTGATGGCGGTAAGGCGGTGTGATCCATCACTGACGTACCGAGCCAGCTAATGTTTGCTGTTCGTATTAAGCTGACGTTATTGAGTAACTTAACAGTTTAGCGCTCGTCACCAGACAGCTAAAAATAATCTGTTGTCTTTCATAAATTATGACTATTACAAAAATTGTGGCCATGCTTTTCCAGCTGGTAAAAACAGCTCACCAAAAACTTTCTCCCACTGCCCACGGACAGATTTGTGAAATGTTTCACTGTTAGGTGAGTGTTTGTCATGTTCTGACCATAAAGGATAGTTTAAAACAGCAATTAACTACTCAGGAGCAAAAATCAGCCTTCAAACTTGAAAGAAATAACAATTTGACGTTTATCGCGATATGTATCGTTATCGACTGATGTGATTTTTTTATCATGATAAGATTTTTGCCCATATCGCCCAGCTCTAGGTCAAACTATAATTTTGTTCATACTCTCCACTTGGGCCATAAAAGAGTTTAGAATGTTTAAACTCACTCAGAAATGCTTTGGTTTCCTTCTAGCAAGAGGAAGAATTGCTGAGTGTACGCAGAGGACTACAGACCTTGTTCCTACCAGATGTCGCCATGTTTTGACTTCAGAGGAAAAAGGCAACTGAAGGACTTTCGTTTATTTACAAGTAATTTTCAGGGCATTTTAAAGTGTGTTCTTGTTTTTGGATAATATAATAGTATGCTTAATATAAGGTTATATTAAGCCGCATTACTTTTTCAAAGTTTGAATAATTATTACTTTATTTAAAATTTATTTACAAAACCTTGTTGGAGCTGTTGTTTGAAACTATCTCTGCACATATATTTACACGTGATTTTTAATCTGAATAATGATTTACTGTAAAAAGGTCATTTTCCAATGAAAGAGGCGATTACAATAACATATTTAAAATGTACAAAATGCATTTATTCATGAATTGTTAACCCCCCCTCCTTACATTCAGTCCCCATAGATATGTTTACTGGTCAGTTAGAAAATAAAAATGGTAATTCAACATGACAAAACAAGTGTCATAATATTCACAGCAGTAATGTATCACAGGAACTGGAACCTCTTTGTCTTTTTTTCACTACAGATCAAACTTATTTGTTTTAATCAGTATGTAAAGGCCTTGTTCCTACAGGCTGGTAGTATGGACAGGCAAAAGTGTGTGAATTAATGCACAGTGTTTGGGATACATTAGCTAGTTATCAGATATTTTGGGATTACAGAGTAATTGGTGCTGATTGTAGACTCAATTTTTTTGTCTTAAGGTTTTTTTTTCAGGGCAGAACATGCACAACCTAACACTTTATACGTATTGTAGTATTAGCAGTCTTTGAAGCCTTTAAATCTGATTGTGTGAGAATATTCTCACTCATTTTAAATCCTAGAGAGAACCCATGCTCAACCACAGACCACCATTTTTCATAGAAATTGTAAATGATAAATAATGACTGAAACAAGTAATCTTTTTTTTTTAAGACACTGATGGATTCCCAATTAGTTTCTGGGTGGTTTGATAATACATTTGCTCAACATTCTTAATCACCCTGCAGCTCTCAAATAGATCTGCCTTAAGCAGCTATTTGGTATTCATATTATGATTGTGTCTGTTATCAGACAGACTATTCTGTCACCAATAACTGGAAACAAATTGCAGGTACATTTCATTGTTCTACCAAGCAAAATAGTGGCCTTTTTCAAGTCAGAGCTTTGAGACCCTAAATATTGAAAATAAGACAAAGAGAATTTATAAACGTATTCTGCAGACGGACAGTGCTTACAAAGTTTTTCCCTTCTTTTTTCCCTCAAATGATGACATAAACAACCCTGTTCAGACTGAATTTTGTACACTTGATATGAAACTCACTCTGACTTAGTAGGCTCACAACCCTTGAAGTACTTTTTTTTTTTCTTTCTTCACTTAAAGTGGAGCTTCTCACATGCACATTAACGTTCACTCAGACTTCTCTCAGCAGTCACTTAAAAACTCCGTTTCGAAAACACAAATCCTCCATCATGGCTCCACTTCTTCAGCCCCAGAGCGGAGGTGTCCACAGCTGCTGTGCCTCTATAGCCTCCGTCATTAACCGCAATACCACCGCCCCCTGGTCAAGACCAGGATGCTGGAAGAATAAGGACATCCTGTGGATGACGTCATCTCCAGGATTTCGTCATGTATGTCTGTTTTAACTTTTTTCTTCACAGAAGAAAACCACCTTCTACGGCCTGTGAAACCTACATTAGGAAAAAAGATGCCTTCGTTATCACTAGCACTGACTTGATCACAGTGGTCAGTCCACTGTATTCCATTCTGCATTCTTTATTTTTGGTAATATGGTATTTCGTGTCAACATTAGGAAGCACAATTATAAGCCTGCATCAGCCAAGTGCCCTAAATCAAGGGCAGCAGTGTGTCATTTTTAGTCACATACGTGTCTCAGGAGGTTTGAATCCCAGTAATTTTGGACTGGCCTGTCTATCTTTGGCTCTGTAGATGCTCACTGAGCTATAAATAGCATTGACACAGCTGACAGAGCCCCACACACTGACCTCGTTAGGTGCTTGCTTGAAGCGTGCACCTCCATCTCCGTGCTTTTGAACTCGTTCAGCTCTTTCCGGATGGCCGCCTGCAGAATCACAAACGAACAACGTTTAGTGCATCCTCGAGTGGCTCTCACACATGCCGAGTTAAAAATAGTGCACTCCAAGCTCTTAAAAAGTCATTTGAATAACACGAGCACGTTATTTCAAATATTTATTGAGTAAAGCCAGGCGTACACTGTGCGATTTTAGAAGTCTTGTTCTTTGGTAACAGCTCACTGTACGTTTGAATTGCCCCTCATGTTCGACCAAAGCCTGCGATTTATGATTACTGTACGAAAACACTCAGTCCGACTGACCTGACGCGACACGGGCGCTCACACTGCACGTGAAACGCAGCCCCTACAGACGCTCTGTCTACAATAAAGCTGTTTCATTCAAAACAACACGCTGCGGCGATGTCCTGATCAAGACACTGGCTGAATCTCAGATTGCTCCCTGCTCCCTGCATAGTGCACCACATATTGAAACAGTGGCTCCTGCACCCATAAAGTGCATCACATGTCTAATAAATAGCCTTTTGAGATTCAGCCATGTGTGCACAGTTCCATACTGGACTAACAGTGCACTATTTTGGTGTAGAAGCCAAAACTTAGTGCACTACATAGGAAGTAATGGGCCATTTGAGATTCAGCCATCGACAAACCGCTACAACAGCAACCAACATTTCTGACGTTGCTCGTTTGGGCAGTTAATCGGGCATCGTTTCCCCTCTCACACTGCACGACAAACAACGGACAATGAAGCTGATATTCGGCCCGATCATGAAATTCAGTGACCAAATCGGGCTTAAAATCGGGCTAAAATCGCACAGTGTACGCCTGACTTCAGAAAGATGAGTGTTGACCAAGAATTCTTGTTTGTTGCTCAGCTGTGCTTCACTCTCAACTTCAGTAACAAACCGGCATTTCCACTGAAAGGTCAGTATGTGAGATGCATCTTAGAACACAGCATACAGACACTTGACTGCAGACCTTCATAAGCACTGCTGACGGTGCCTTCTTGTCACATACCTTGTCAGCTGCAGACAGTCTAGTCCAAGGTTTGTCAGCTCTCCTGTCATAATCCTGAGCTTTGGCCACCTCCACATAGTCACTAAAGCGGATCAGGATCTTTCTGTCTCTCAGTTCGTCAACCGTCGGCCTCTGGTTGAGCTGAAAGACGAAGGAAAGCACAGATATGAAGCTTTTTTGGATGTCGTCCACATTACAGCTCAATGACAGTTTGAATTCATGTATGTCACTGCTGTTGGAAGAAAACCTCGCATCTCCATTTTTGCCATTTTTCAGTTGTTGACATAATTTGAAAATGTCTGTTGCTCTTTACGTTATGTGTGAATTTTATTAAGAATGGACCAAAATAAATGGATCATAATGACTTGGCAAAAAGTCTGGTTCCATTGACTTACATAAAAAGTAAAGTAGGTTTTTTCCTTCTCCTGTAAAGTTATCAAAGGTTTTCATCCGACAACAGCGATATGTAAATATACTGAGTATTCAGTGAGGGTGATATGCGAACTCGTAGGATTAGCACTTTCCAAGTCTTTGCTGCTTCACAGATGCTTCCATTGACAAAGTTTAAATGGAAAACAGCTTCATCTTCATCCTTTGTGCATAAGCTTTTATTGCAAGGTCTTAGTGAACTGTGTTTTGTACGTTAATGCTATAATAACGTTACAGCGCAACACACTGGTTTGATCAATGTAGTACACCAATAATAGAGCATGATGTAGACATATTGAGGCAGTATATGAAGGTTGCCATACCTTTCTGTTCAGTCTCTGTTTTATTTCTCTTCTCTCTTCTTGCTCGGTCTGGTCATTCCGCTCTGAGGGAACACAGAGAGTAAATCAAATTAGCATTGATTAACACTGAGTGACACACACAGGAGGTTCTTCTCAATTGCTGCAAAATGAATACAGATTATTAATATTTTATCTCCTGCATAAATGCTTTTTAATGTCAATTTGTTAATAAACTCACTTGTTTTAATACACAAAAAATGAAATGTAGACAGTAAAGGAGGTAACTTCTTAAGTTTGTGCTGATACACTAATAAGCCAAAATGACATTTGGTAAGGAAACGGATAGATAGATGGATGGATGGATGGATGGATGGACGGATGGACGGATGGACAGATAGATAAATAGATAGATGGACAGATGGATGGATGGATGGATAGATAGACAGATAGATACAGACAGACAGATAGATGGACAGATAGATAGACAGACAGATAGATGGACAGATGGATAGACAGACGGACAGATAGATGGAGGGATGGATGGATAGAGAGAGAGAGAGAGATAGGGGTCATTCCACAGAAACGTCCATTTTTGTGTCCCTAGCATTTACAGATATATTACACTTGGAAAAACATGTTACAGCTACAATTTATTTATAATTTAAAATAAAACTAAGTTATTTTAACAATTACACCTTCTTGAGCCGAAAATTTAGCAATATTGGTTTTTAAATCAATCAAAGAATTGCAAGCACCACAGAAGAGCTCGTCCTCACAGTCATGTGTGAAGGCTGAGGCCATATTTTGAGGTAAAAAACACATTTTTCTGCAATTCTAACTACAATAATCTAAACATGACTATGGAATATATGAATTAAATGACAAAGAAATCAAATGCCAAATAAATATTATAAAATATATAATGAAAGTTGTCCCCAGGAGTCGTGTCACTGGTGTTACTGTGTAACAAAAAATCTATTTTGAAATAAAAGTCACACTGATGACATCACTTGACTTCCTTTTACCTGTTTTCTGAGGATCTATGAAGAAAAGCACATGGTGAGTCCACTGTGTCTTTCAGTTATCAGAGATTTTCTCATTTAGCTCATGATTTCATATGAAGCTTTTAGCTGAAGTCACTGGTGTGACCGATTTTATTCTGAGGTCATTGTGAAAAAATACAATACAAATGGATTAAATTCCATATTTTAGCGCATTTTCCATGACTGACAACATGTGGTTTGATGTTCTGCAGCAGAAATTTAGTAAAATGCATTTTTCATTAAAAATGTCTCTGGTGTTCCCTTTATTATGTGTAACACCAATGAGGATCAGTAACACCAGTGACTCCTATGGACAGAT